TTCTGCTTTTTCAGAGTACAATAACTACATCATCAAATATCAGTTTGAAATATTAGTCAAATCTGCTTATTTTAAGCAAATTTCTGCTGAGACACATGATTCTGATGTTATTGTGCATCACTGCTAATATTATAAAGATAACTAACTCAAACACATTTAGAGTAATCCTAACATTCTGTTTTAGAACAAAATAAGCAAAGTGCTCAAATGTAAATTAAAAGTGATTTGCACTGCCTTTAGTGCGAGTTAGGGCCAAACACCCTTCGGTGTCTAACTGAGGACTGTGTGTTGATAGTCTTAATCAGACGTGTTAAGCACCTTACTAATGAGTGTGTAATTGTCTTTAATGGTTGTTACTTCAAGATGAGCATCAGATGTTTTAATTATGCAAGAAAATAGCCTCTCTGAAGTGTTATGGCCTGTGACAGTTAGTACTATTACCTGAGGTAAGACATTAAGCATATAAGGCATTTGTTGAGAGAGAGAGAGAGTGAGAATGAGAACACTCCTAAAACGCCTAGCACACAGTGTGTCATCAGTGCCCTGGTAAAAGGAGGCAGTGGACATAGAGCTCACAGGCATAGAGAGGATCATTAGTGTAATCTTCATTGCTTTGACAGCCTCAGACACAAATGACCTCTGATACTGCAGGGGGGATTGAGTCTAAGTGACTCTAGTGTGGTGCAAGACTAAGCGGACATTGGCTACCTTTATTGTGTGGCGTAATGTGATTTGGATGAATCACATGGAATGTACTTTAGCTGGGTTGTTAACATAAATGAAATGAAAACTATGCAGGCTAACTATGCACTGTACAACCCAGAGCTAACTGCAGTCACACCAGACCAAAAAAGAACCACATTTTAAAGAAATTGTTAAGGAAATAAAATCTGATTTACTCAGTTACTATAAGGCTAATGAAGCCACCAAGTAGACCTAATAGAAGCTTATACTCCGGTGGTTAGCATACTGCAGCTACATGGTTAAAATAATCACAACTTGGCTCAAACAGTGTCAAATTATGTAATCTCAAATAAACTTATTTCTGTGGTTTGACACTGTATGACATAGTTATCTTAAAATGGATAGAAGCAAATCTCATACAGTACTATGTAAAAGTCAGAGACCACCTATTTATTTATTTAATTTGAAGTCAAAAATGTATAGTACATTAAGTGCAAGTTATTTATTTTACAGGAGATACTTCTAAGAAGCTTACATATGAAATAATCTACTTGCATAATATCACTGTTTAAAATAATAAAAAATACTTATGAATGTGAAAACTTATGAATTATGAATGAATTTTCAATAATGAAGTATATATATATACACACACATACTTCTAACAACTGTGCAAGATCTGGTAGATCATCAAAACTGGCACCATCAGATAAACAGTACTTAAAGCTTTCATCTTTGACAGAAAATCAAGCTCCACTTTTGCTTCAGACCTGACACAGGTGTTTCTGTCCATCCTTCCACTGTGAGAAGACAACTCAACACTATGAGTCTGAAAGGATGCGTAGCTGTCAAGAAGCTGTTACTGAAAAAAGGAAACAGACAAAAAAAGTGAAAAATCTGCAAATCAAACAAAGAAGCTCCTGGTGCTCTCAGAACAGTGGACTGACCACCCCAGAGTCCAGACCTCAACATCACTGTAGGTGTTTGGGATTATCTGGATCATGAACTTTGGAGGTGTGGAAAAATATTCCTGCAGATTTCTTTGAAAAACTGAAAGCAAAGAGTGGACACACCAAATACTGAAAAAAATACTCCATTTCCAAAAAAGTTGGGACGTTGTGTCAAATGTAAATAAAAATAAAATGCAATGTAGGTGCCAAATTTGGCTTTTATACATTTTCGTCTTTGTAAATATTTCCGTACCATTTTGGGAACACTAGGGGGCGAGCTGCACTAGGTGATGGGTCAGGTGACAAGTCAGGTGCTAGTCACAAGACACTCACAGAATGGGGGCTCAGGTGGTGGGAACATAGGGTTCTTACCACAATTGCTGGAACAAACAAAGCGTTGACTGGATTGTAATTCTGCAATTCAAGTTTGTTATCTTCATCATCTCTGGTAAAAGAGTTGTTTTTCTGTAGATAAATGTCTCAACAAATGGGAACACCACCCAACAGCAAGTTTTAGTTTGGATTGTTGTTCATTGGATGCGCGTGAAGGAACATTCTAACCACCCGAGCAGGTGACTAACGAATAGGTTCTCCGATAGTCACTACTGCAATGATGTGCAAATCATTTAAACCCTATATTTCATTGGAAATAGTACAAAGACAAATATTAAATGTTGAAACTGAGAATAAATATTTGCCCATTTTGAATTTGATGCCAACAACACGTTCCAAAAAAGTTGGGATGGGGCAACAAAAAACTGGTTAAGTTGTGTAATGCTAAAAAAGCACCTGGTGGTTGATTGGCAACAGGTCAGTAACATGATTGGGTGTAAAAAAGCATCCCAGAGAGTCTTTCAGAAGATGAGGAGGGGTCCACCACTCTGTGAAAGACTGCACGATCAAATAGTGCAACAATTCTAGAATAACGTTTCTCAACATAAAATAGTAAAGAACTTTTTCTTTTCATCATCTACAGTACATTATAAGATTAAAAGATTCAGAGAATCTGAAGAAATCTCTGTATGCAAGGGACAAGGTCAGAAACCAGTATTTGCTGGCCATGATCTTTGGGCCCTCAGGTAGCTCTGCATTAAACACAGACATGATTCCGTAGTGGATATCACTGCATGGGCTCAGGAACACATCTGAAAACCACTGTGTGTGAAAACAGTTTCGTCGCTGCATCCACAAATGCAAGTTAAAACTCTAAAATGCAAAGAAGAAACCATATATAAACAGGATCCAGAAATGCTGCCACCTTCTCTGGGCCCAAGCTCATTTAAAATGGACTGTGGTGAAGTGGAAAAGTGTCCTGTCGTCCGACAAATACAAATTTGAAATTCTTTTTGGAAATCATGGACACTGTGTCCTCTGGGTGAAAGACCACTCAGCTTGTTATCAGTGGACAGTTCAAAAGCCAGTATTCATGATGGTATAGGGGTGCATTAGTACAAATGGCATGGGTGATGTGCACATCTGTGAAGGCACTGTTAATGCTGAATAAAATAGATGTTTTGGCAACATATGCTGCCATCCAGATGACATCTTTTTTAGGGAAGTCATTGCTTTTTTCAGCAAAACAATGTCAAACTACATTCTGCACGTTTTACAGCAGCATGGCTCTGTAGTAAAAGAGTCAGAGGCAGTTCAGACCTGTCATCACAAAAAACATTTGGCGCATTATGGAATGAAAAATACGACAACGGAGACCCTGAACTATTGAACAGCTGAATCCTACATCAACCAAGAGTGGGAAAATATTTAACTTTCAAAACTACAGCAGTGTCTCCCCAGTTCCCAAACACTTACAGAGTGTTGTTAAAAGAAGAGGTGATGAAACCCATCCCAACTTTTTAAAAACTTGTTGCTGGCATCAAATTCAAAATGGCATATATTCCTTTAAAAATATGGTTTACATGATTTGCATATCATTGCATCCTATTTTTATTTACATTCTGCACTGTATCCCAACTTTTTTGGAAATAGAGTTGTAGTTGTTGAGGTTTCTTTCCTGACTTAATGCTCATTTTGACTGAAAATTAAATAAATGAAAAGATCTCTTTTGCTAAAAACAGCAGCAGCAGCCTTGAAGTCTGAATTTTGTCTGTGTTTTTATTCAAAGCGTTATGCTTTGGAAACGTGGTTTGCACAATGCTAGTTGGTGGGGTTTCCATTACGTGTTAGCTACATTAGCCTCGTAGCTCCAATATAAAAATAAGAAATAAACTTTGAACAAACATGTCTTGACTGACCAACCACTTTGGATGTGAGGGGGAATTGTGTAACTTTAAATAAATAAAATTGCTTTTTTTTTAATTTTTTATTTTTTAAAGTCTTCAAGGTAGGCTCATTGTTCAGTCAAGCTGAGAGAACTACACCATGTAGCATTTAATCCAGCAGCTGACTCAGGTCTTGTCCAAGTCTAAATGCCAATGAGCTGATGTGCTGATGGATAACTGCAATCAAACAAGCCACCAATAAAGGAGAAAACACAGAGACTGATGAAGACAGCATGGCTCCTCAAAGCGCTCAATACACATCTAACTTCTGAAAGCTACAACTTATGTAAGGCTGCATTACCTGCATTCTTTTAGAACTATCTCGCTTTTTTGTCATTGTTTATAGGTGGGATGTGGCCAAGCCTGACATTATACATGAAAAATTTCTTTTGCCCAAATGAGCTCTTTAACCTAATATGGCATGAACTCTAATTGGCTTAGGTAAGATTACATTAAGATGCAAAAGCGTGATAATTTATGCAATTCTAGAGTGCATGTGGACATTGACTGGGTACCTGAGCCTATTCTCAAATATATAACAGTGCTTTCATGCTACTCCACACAACCAGTGATATCAAAACAAAATGAAAAGTAGCTAGATTTGTAGATTTACATGGTGAAACTAAGTTCCAGTTCAGAATGTCCCCAGTGCCTGTGCCAACGGGGGCTAGCCTTTACTGGCTATAGTTTGATGTGCCTTGGGAAAGAGTGTGAAAACCGTAATCTGAACTCTACCTCCCTCTAGTGACTGCAGCTCCACAACGCAGCCGAACAGCAGACAAAGGAAGAATCAATATGCTGACCCAAGCATTTTCCACTTGCGTACTACATTTGACAGTTTTGACAGAACCCTGACAAAAAAGGTAGCAAGACTAAATCCAATCCAAAAGTTTCACTTCTTTATCAGGGAATAGCATTCTCAGTTTGTTCAAGTGAACCAATGTTTCTGATACAGTTTTACTGGTTTTGAAAGAATGCATTGGCAGCATTTGCTTTCAATTTTGAATGTACCAAGTAAATCATATTTATGCAGTGCAAGCAGTTTGTATAGTATTGGGCTCACCAAATTACACAACAGTCTTAAATCAACAGAGAAATTTTATAGGCAAAATCTTTTATTCTCCTTCCAGTTAACAACATTTGTAGGCAGTCACAAAAGCTGGTCTACATTCAAAACCTGGAAATAAAGCAAAACATTTAGAAAAATAAGCTCAACGGAAAGCATAAAGTCAAAGCAGACTTTCTTGCAGGACTTTGTAAGGTAGAAAATATTAAGCATCTTAATGATGAGGCATGTCACCACAGCAACTAGTGAATCACTAAGACAATGAACTCTTCAAAGAACAGCCATATATATGTGCAGTGTGGAGCCACGATATTTCTAATGCTAACATTTTATTTTCACATTGTTCACATAGGTGGCCTAGAGGAACAAAAAAGGCAAAGGCAAAGAGTGTTTGTGAAGATGACATATGTGGCCCTGTGGCCACAAAAAAGTGCCAGGGCAATTTAGCAGAGAGGAGAAGCTACACAAAGGCAACACCTCCCACTGCCATGATTCTTACAAGACAGAAAGAAAAGTGTATGTGTAAAAGATGCATAGCACACAGAGCGTATTGAGTAGAAACAGACTGGACTGGCTTGAGGAAGACAGCACAGTACAGCAGCGCAGAGAGAACAGATGGGGCAGGACAGAAGCACAACAAAAACCAAGCCTACAAGTGTTACAGTTCTACAAAAAGGAGTTTAAAAAAAGTAACCATTAGATCCCAGAGAGTGGCTCTATCACTTCTGTTGCAACCGGGCAGCTTTGAACTTTGACACCCTTTTGGGTGGCTCCTGGGGCACTTCTGAGCCCACCTCTTCCTGCTTTCTTTCAGGGATTGTGGGTAGGGCAGGAGGGGCAATGGTCAGGTGAGGGATAGATGAGGGCAGGGGATCCTTTTCAACCACTGTGCCTGAGAAAGCCTAAAAACACAAAGCATTACAGTGAGCACAGACTAAAATAAGCACATGTAAAGACATATGGAACTACTATCATTATATAAAGCTATTAACTCAAAGACGCAATGAACTATTTACACAGTATCAGAAGTGTTATTTTCAGACACAAATCGTGTGTGTGTGTGTGTGTGTGTGTGTGTGTGTGTGTGTGTGTATGTATACACACACACACACACATATAAACACTACAACATTCTCTTACGCATTTGATTTGATATTTTCAGATCGATGCATCACAATGCACAGATGCATTTTACACTCCTTCTAGACTGTCTTGCATTTCATTAGACACTGAAGTGCAAGTCATTCTGAATTACAAGAAAGGGGGAAAGACGGATATTTCAACAAGACAACGACCCCAACAAACAGCCAAAATAACTCAAGACTACTTTCTAAACAAAGTGGATGTGCTTGCATGGTTGTGCCAATCTCCTGACTTGAATCTCATTGAAAATGCATGGAGAATTTTGAAATTGCAAGTCCAGCGGGGGGACCCTTGTAACCTTGGTGAGTTGAAGACAGTTCCCAAAAGTAATGGGACAAAACTGAACCACAATGCTGCAAAAGCTAATTACCTTATACCATAGATGTTGCGAAGCTCTAACTGCCAACAGCTTTGCAACAAAGTACTAATGTTGAGATGTGGTGCCTTTTTTTAAACATGTCTGTTTATGCTTACAAATACATACTGCTTTGTTCATATTTATAAGTATAAAGTGAAAAATCATTACGTGTGCAAATTTGAAGTGGATATATACACAGGAAGTATATTATGTAACAAAATCTAAAACTACATATTTATTTCCCCTCACTGTAAGTGATAAAGACAGGTTAAAAAATGGTCACATAAAATTAATGAAGAGTGTTTTTGGTACACAGTAAAACACAAACATCAGAAGTAATACGTAGCTTTTGAACTGAAATAAACCCATTTGATTCAAAACATTCAATTCATCTTAAGGTAAATGGATTGCAAAACAGCATCCTCTGACAAGTTAAAAAAGACTGTATTAGAATGTATTAGAAAACACAGGTAGGTAGTACCTCAAAGCGTCCATTAGGGCGAAGGCTTATGTGAGAAAGGCTGTCCTCCTCCGTAATCCCATCGCTGGCGTCACTGTGGGTGGCTTCGTCGTGGCTGTGTGTGCGGCCAAAAAAGGCACGCCGCTCTTCAAAATCCGCTGTGCTGCTCTCACTGGTGTCACTGCACACACTGTTCTCACGGCTGCGCGACTTCAGAATGGATTTCCTCGGGACAGGCTCGCCATTCACCACATCCACAAATACCCTGCATACACACCATTCAAAACATACAAACTGCTAAGGCTCAGCTTAAACATCTGAACACACACACACACACACATCATCTAAACCGCTTATCCTTCTGGGTCGCAGTGGGGTAACATCTGAACAGGTCTTGTAAAAGGTCCTAAAAATCATGATCATAATTAGGAAAACCAGAGCTGATGCTCATCTGTCCTAAGGAATTAGAATCACTTTGCTGCCCAAGTAAATAGATGTACTATTGCATGTACTAAGAATTTACATAACAAACAATACAAATAAAAAAGTCACAAATGGTACCACAATATGTATATATCCACAGCATGTAGAACTAAATATACAGTGTATTTACAACAATACAGATCAGGTGGGATATGACTAGCAAGGGAAAATATTTAAAGCAGGGCATGAAAAATACGCGATGTAAAATATACAAGCATCATTGGACCACTACCTGTAGATATCTGCGGGAGTTGAAATCTTATGATGCTCATGAATAGAGTGGCCGTTGCTTTTGCCGTTCTTCTTTTTCCGCTTCCCTTGTTGTTTTTGCTCCTTCCTGTCACTGAACTTCAGAGTGGTGTTCTTTCCTGTGTTTATTCTCACCTAAGAAAAGACATACAAAATTGCCTTTCTTACAGTTTAAACCAATACACGCTGAGCTCAAAGTTCACCTGAAGTCTGAATTCAAAAGTAGGTGTTTTAGTGACTTCTTACTTTTTTGGGCTCAACTGTGTGAGAGAAATAGATAGTTGGCAGACCGTTGCCTTCTTCCTCTTCTTCTTCTTGTTCTTCATTCCCCTCCTCATCAAGCTGTGGCCTGGAGATGCCATTGACCTGGCCTATGACAGGGGCAGGAGCCTGGTCCTCACAGTGACTGTGACCATTAACCTGGGCCACTTCGCCAGAGTCTGCTTCCTTCTCTTCCTCTGAAGAAGATGAAGTAGTGTCCTCTCCGTTGGTGTCTGTGCTGTCCAATCTGAGAAAGAGAAAAGTTTAGTGATTTCACACTGGAAGATCTGTAGGACAGCTTAGTCATTTACAAGCATTGCTTTGCATAATTACATATAATTGTTAAGTCTAAGGCACAGGTTCCCAACCTGGAGGACCCCCAACCCTGCACAGAGTCTTCCCTGCTCCACAACAGACCCACTTCAAATCATGAAGTGATTGTTAATTAGATGATTCATTGGATCAGGTGTGTTGGGAGCAGGGTAAACAAATGTGTGGGCAGGGAGTACACCAGAGTTGGGAACCATTGCTAAGGGCAGATGCAGCGAATGTGACCTGTAACCTTAAATGTTTCAGAGCCCAAATCACGGTTAAATATCCAAATAGGTCCAGATCAAGAAGGAATTGTTAGTCACTGCTAAGAGGACATAAAGGTTAATTCTAGTGAACTGCAGAATTGAGACAAACGCAAATGCAGACAATGGAAATTAAGGTTGGTGATGGGTCGTCTATATTGATAGACCATGACATGGCTTTTTAGGTGTAGGTTTCATAAAGATAAAAAGCAGTGTCTCTGCTTTTGTTAAATTCTATTTTGATTCTAATCATTGTATTCATGACCTGACAGTTAACTGTAATAAACATAATTTGCTGTGTGCTTCAAATTGTTCTGAAAGAACCATTTAAAACCAACTAAATAAATAAATAAATAAATAACTGTGGAAAACTCTAGTTTCTGTTTATTTTACAATACTGTGTAAACATCTATTTGGTCTAATTTTACGAGAAGAAAACAGTCCAATCAAAACAAGCTATATTAGGTTTGCATTCTTTCAGCATAGAGCACAAGTACTCAGAAGGCATGGATTTATTAACTTTATCAGCTGATACAGTGATATGTTGAAAATGTGATACTGAACTTTATCAACACTGCCCAGCCCTAGTGGAAATGCTCATAACACATTCCTTAGTGATCAAGGACACCGAAAATAGAGCTAGTAACATCCTCGATAAAACATCACTGACCACTGTGAATGCACAAAACATAATCTGACTGGGGTGTTCAAACATTTGCATATGACTATAACTGGCACTTACTATAATTGTCAACTGTAGATTTTTATTATTAGGTAGCCTAGACAAGTGATTCATACTCTTCAAACATATTTAAACAAGGGCAGACATTCCTTTACACATCTATTGCCAACATATTTTTGCAGAGAAATAAAACCATGTACCAACATACCCTCCAAACCACAAAAATCTAATGTGATAAACAAACTGTTGCACTTTAATTCAATGATTATATAACACTAGATTTTAATACAAGAGAAAAAGACTGGTATAAACTTCCAACTTAATTTGGCAGTGGGCTATTTAAACAACAAACAGTAATGAATGGAATAAGCAAAACAAGAATTTTCACTTTCCCTCTCATATCACCTTCGATTGATGCTTCAACTTTATGCCCACATCCTGGCACTGACAGCACTACCTCTAAGCACCTGCTAAACCTGACTCTCAATCTTAACTGAACAATTTAGAGCCGAAATCACTGCTCGATTGTGGCATTTGGGAATTAATCTCATCATTTTCTGTACTTTCAGTTCAAAACTGTTTAGTTACTAACCTATCAGCTTGTGTGACATAGTTTTATATAAGGCACCTTCTAATTTAGCTCTAATTTACTTTCAGCTTTCTCTCACCTATCTCTCTCATCCTGCTCTTCCTCCAGACGCTCCAGCTCATCCAGCCGAGCCCACAGTTCTTCTTCACACAGCGCTCCTTTACTGCTCTCTCCATCTTCTCTAATGTCCTCCTCCAACTGCACAACATACTCCTCCTTGGGCTTGGAGTTGGGCTTGTGGGCCACACGATGTTTACCTGACAAAAGATTAGATGTTAGGTTTAGGATGCACCTGCAGCTGACTCCTTATTTTTCTGTATCTATTCCTTACTCTTTGGTAAATGTCGCTTCTCACTCACAGGACAAACAAAAACAAAGAGCACACCATACAACTTATTGCACTAGCCAGAGGTCTGAAGGCACCTTTGGTTACGGTTTCCTCTTCTCCAACTTCTTCTCTAATGTCAACAAAATCTCCTGTAGCCTGTGGAGAGGGCAGAGATGTACAAAGAAGGAATTCCTTATTCCCACACAAAGAAAGAGTCGAATTCGTGAGCTTATGTGGTTGTATGAAAATTGCAGCTAAGAATGTGACAGACTTACACTAGTCATTTTTTCAAGGTCTTCTGTGAAGCCTGCTTTGTCTTGAAAGTTTTTCATTACTTTGTGCAAATCATCAAGTTTATTCTTTACATCTGAAAAAGGTACAAGAGACAGACATTTGTCAATTGATTTTCAGGAGATCAGAATAATATTAACAATAACTTAATAGTCATTTAAAACTGTAACAATAATAATAATAATAATAATAATAAATTATAGTAATTAAGTGAGCTTACGTTTATTTCTGTGTTCTACAAGCGTCTGGGCCTGTTTAGCAGAACACTTTGCAAACCAGTTATCTCCAAGGAGAACTGTGAGCTCATTAGTGTGAACCAGCTTCCCAGGCATGAAAGCCAAAGGGCCGAATGGTACCTAACATGTTCAACAGACAAAACAGAATTTACATTACATATACACACACGTCATGAATAACTAAGGTAAGACTAAATTACTCCTTTAGGGCAACAAAATCGTTAATCTCCTCAACATCCCCAAGTATTCTCTGCCTCAATACACCAGCCCCAGCTCAATCATCAATTCCTTCGTGCACAAAATCATTTGTGTAAGTTGCAGCATCTTTCAAACTAGTGTGTGTGCGCATGTGTTTTATACACATACATATACATATATACACATATGTATGGGTTTCCTCTGGTTAATCCGGTTACCTCCCACAGTCCAAAGACATGCAGTCAGACTAACTGGACATGCTAAATTGCCTAGATGTGAGTGTGTGTGGGAATGTATATGTTTGTCTGTCTGTCTGCCCTGCCATTGACTGGTGACCTGAAAAGGGGGTATCCTGCCTTCCACCCAATGACTGCTGGGATAGGCTCCAGTTCCCCCGCGACCCAGAAGGTTAAGCGGCTTAGAAGTTGTGTGTATGTGTGTAAATATATATGCTAGATAGATAGAGAGATAGAGAGATATAAACAAAGTGATTGAGTGGTTTTGTGTGAAAAACTTCCTGAGGCTTAATTGTTCACAGTGGTGGTGATAGGAACCAGAAGTCTGAGAGTTTAATGCCTCCAAAAAGTTCCCTAACATAAAGTTACTACATGAAATGGTTCCGAATGCACTGCCTGATGCCAGATACATCATTTTACGATAGTTTTAAGAAGATTTTGGCTTAACATATCCATGCATTTAATCCATGGTGAAAAGGTACATGCAGGGTGCAATAAGGCAAAATAGTCCCCAAAGGACACATTTTTATGGCTTTACTGTTATGTCTTCATTATCATCATTACATAGAAAAACACTGAAGTAGATATTGTAGATATCGGAACCCCTGGTTCCTATCATCATGGCCGTAAAGAAAGACTCGGTAAGTTTCTCTACAGTGAACGATTTCACAACAAAGCCCACTGAATGACTTTGTTTACATCTCAATGACTGAATTACAAATTTTCAAAATTGGTTGAATTCCCCTTTAAGTGTGTAACAGAATTGCTAATAAATGATAACATGACCCAGGCAGTTACACTGATTCTGTTAAGACAAATTAAAACTTTTGTATACCATTATATCATAGGACAGCTTATCAGGCAATGTGTCAAGGCGCTCTTTCAGACTTTCGTAGTCTTTCTCCATTTTTCTCCTGGTGAATAAGAAAAGAAATCTAGTCATGAGTTCTGCAATAAAGTCTGGAAGAAGAAAATCAGATTTTTCGAACTGTCCACTATTATAAGAAATGAACATCTATACAATAGGTTATGTATACAACAAACCATCGGCTTTATAAATAAAGGCATGAAAAATGAGTAAACAAGTAGTATTCATATGGGGGGAAAGAAAATATACACAGACACATTAAAGCCAAAATAAGGCAGATGGGTTGCCATGACCCTTATAAATTTTGAGTAAGGACACTCACCAATGTGTTATCTGACTTTTGCAGTCTTTCACCACCTGGTGTTAAAACAATTATAGATATTTTGTCATTTTGTAACCACTAATGTAGCATTCATCACTGAAAACTGACAACAAAAATCCTATATGCATGTTACAGAGTGGAGCAGACAAATAACATCACTTACCACTGGAGCGTTATAGATGCTATAGACGCAGCTCAAAAGATATTTACAACTTTCCAGCAATGTTTTCCCAGTAACATTACATTTTTCTTCTTCTTTCACCATTATTAACCCTGTTCTTTCATTTCAGAATTCAAATGTATATACATGAAATATTATAGGAAATATCCTTACTCAAATACACCATTACACATCTGAAGACCAGCAAACTAGCTAACTTTCTACTTTAGCCAGCTAGCCAGCCCACACACATTGTGCTGCAATGACGCTAACAAAATGGTGGTGAACTAGTGTTAAAGGTATTTCTACATGCTTTCTACTTTGAAATAAACAGCTTTAAAATATATTACAGCAACATTTTTGTCTTTCCTCAGTAGGTGAAAGACAACTCAAAGGGGAACTCGGATTATTTTGTGTAATTAAACGTTGTGTAATTTGTGTAATTTGTGTAATTAAACGTTGTGTAATTAAACGTCAAGATGTAAACGAAGTCATTCAGGGTGCTTTGGTGAGAAATGCTTCATTCTCGAGAAACTTAATGACTTAGAATTGTTCAAAGTGGCAGTGATAGGAACCAGACGTCCACCTCTAAAAGCTCCCTCTAAAAGTTATTACATGAAATGGTTAGGAATTAGGGATGGGAATCTCTAGGCACCTCATGATTCGATTCAATTACGATTCAGAGGGCTGCGATGTGATTATAAAACGATTATCAAAGCATCTCGATGCATCTTTTTTTCTATACAGGATTTCTTTATTTTCTCACTGTGTGAGGACTTGGTAGTTTTAATGCAAAGTATTTGTAATGATCCATAATGAATTTACTTCCAATATCTTTTATTAATAAATCAAATGGAGGTGATGTGGCAAGTGAACTAGAAGGCTCTCATTCACTGCCTTTGGAGCACATGAGACGCTGCCGCCACTCATCGGCGATATATATAAGATCCAGTGGTGATGGATGTCCATGCAGCACTTGTTACAGACGTCCTACCCGTTTTTAGTGACTGTATAACTTTGGTTTTGGTCTCGTTGTAGAGGAAGTGGGGGGATCGCTGTGTCAATAAAATATCTTCGAGACGTGACGTGTGCAGCATAGCGCGCAAAGCCCTGTTTCGCAACAACTGAGAATTGCCATGCAGACTGCAGGTCACCAACAACGATGCGTTATTCGCATTTATAAGCAGCTCAGTTGATTTCCTGGCAAGTTAAATCTGCAACGAGAGACTGTCAAACAGTAAAAAATTGCAAAGATGAAGTCAGCTTCTCTTTTGAATTTTCTCGTTCCACCTTAAATGGTGCCGCATTTACATTCGGCGCCTCAGTCTAGAGCTGGGCGATATGCCAAAAATGTTATCACGATGAACAAAATTCATATTGTTCAACATCGATACATATCGCGATAAATGTCAAATCATTATTTCTTTCAAGTTTGAAGGCTGATTTTTGCTCCTGGGTGGTTAATTGCTGTTTTAAACCATCCTTTATGGTCGGAACATGACAAACTCTCGCCAAACAGTGGAACATTTCACAGATCTGTCATGGGAGAGTGGGAGAAAGTGTCTGGTGAGCTGTTTTTACCAGTTGGAAAAGCATGGCTGTTTTTGTAATAGTCATAATTTAAGAAAGAAAACAGATTATTTTTAGCTGGTGACGAGCGCTCGGCTACCCCGCTACAAATGATGTCACAGTATTCAGACACCAGCTAGCGACGTCTGGATTTCTCTATACTATCGTAGTAGTTTAAGTGGTGAACCGCAATATACCAACACCAGACAAACTTTAGGTACGTTTAAACTGAAAGTGGTGCTTTTGTGTCATTATCGCTCTATCGACGAGAAGTTATATCGCGATAATTATCGTTAACGTTCTATCGCCCAGCCCTACCTCAGTCAGAATTTAAGGTGGAACGGGAAAATTCGAACAAGAAGCTGGAGCATGAGAAGCGACTTCAGCCTCGTAACACAGCCGAATGTTGAGACACGTTTTACAATAAACTGCTCTAGTTTTGAAGAAAAGTTTTCTGGCGGAGATGTGAGGAAAGCAGCTAAGGCTTAAAGCAGAGCGAAGTAGATCTGCGCTCTCGTTTATATTGTTTAGTCTATACTAGGACATTATCACATACTGAGACACACTGGACATTAAATGTTGTGGCTCCCAAGGTGGTCTGATTTATGTTAAAGGACAAAATGGCTCTTCTTATCATTTGTGTTGTGACTCCTGATCTAACCTGGCTTTTAATGCAGAGGGAGCCGGTCGGATTTCTCACTCATCCAGTTGTGTTTTTGTTGTGTGCCGTCACAGACTGTCCGGGCGCTGCACTTCCGCACTTCCAAGTTCCGCCCTTTGCGTTCCATCAACATTACATTATAAATTAAATATTTAGAAAATCGATTTTTTGACATCTGTGAATTGGTTCAGAATCGTTCACGTCCGCATCGCGATGCATCTAAGAATCAATTTTTTCCCCGCAGCCCTATTAGGAATACTCAGCTTCATGATCTGAGACACTGTTTTATGATTAGGTTTCGGCCTAAAATGTGTTTTAATCAATTTATTTCAATCTATGTATGGAGGAGGGATTAATGAAGGGTGTTCTAAGGCAAAACAGTCCCTAAGGAAAACTCTTTTTTTCAGATTTACCACTATTTTACAATCATCAATTTTAACCTACATATAAAAACTCAGACACGTGTAGGTTCACTGGTGGTTTTGGATAGTAAATAATATGGCTGTATTTGTATTGTAAGACATGGTGACCCCTGGTTCCCATCACCACCAGTGTAAAGAAACGAGCCATTTCACACATTTATCACCAACCCACTCTGAATGACTCTGTTTACATCTCAACCACTGAATTATGCAGATATTTTGGACAAATCGGCGAAATTCCCCTTCAACAAACTTGTGTAGCAACCAGCTAGCCCACCGCTGCTACGCAACACGTGACGGCCTGGCACTTTCTAGAAAAACAAAACTAAAACTTCAGTGTCTTGTACATGCAAAGCTGTGATAACTGCTACTTTTAACTGTGGACTTACAGCTACAGATAGCAGATAAATATCAGCATAGCAGCTTTATTACTGGAAGCGAAAGCAACCCAATTCTGGAGGTGTGAGCAGCATGTCTGTCGAGCTGCACATGAGCTCAAACTGAAAGTGTCCTCGAAAACACGAAAACTAAGATTACTCTTTACCTTTCGATGTTCCTCTTTTAATCTCTCTACGCCTTTCGGCAGATCGTTGGTCGTTTTCACTTTCCCAGCCATTCTGTCCCGTCGGCCTCCCGTAATAGGCGTAAAGACGGTGGATATCACCACTATCGCACCACCACACTCAGCTCAGCACACTCAGGGGGCTGAAGTCCTATAGAAATGTTTATGAATGCCAGTGAAGGTGCTCCTCTGCCCTGGCGGCCTTTTAGTCATCAATGAAGCGGTAGAAGCGATCCAATTCAAGATTGAGACCATTTCACCCTTGCATTGTACAAAGTCGAGCCTTTCCAAAAATATTCCACTGCTTGTGTTCTTGGCGTCTTCAGCAATGTCCGTCCGTCTGCGCCATATTCATCTCCCAACAAAAACACAGCGGCGGACACGTGATGCGACGCTGAGGTGCTTTATAGGTGCGCTCGCTTTGCGCAGGCCCTGCGCAGAGTGAAGATCTGTAAACCATGAAAGTGGCAGGATAGGGGAAGGTTTATCTTGTAGATCGACTAAATCTGCACGGAACGTCTTAAGAACTTGTGCAGGACTCCAAATGACACTTTGCTAAATCATGAACAAGTCGTAGATGAGTGCGAAGTTTCGTCAAACAGCAAAATATTAGCATTACAGCTAAACAGTCTATTGACAAGTCTAAACAGCTGATTTTATAACGTATACAAAAGTGACTGTCTGCTGATCCTTAAAGCAACTACGCGTGATTTGAATTGTATAAATTATTTAAATGCAAAACACACAACTAGAAATCAATTGAGCAAAATAGGACAGGCACAAAAATAAATAAGTCATCAATAGCCTGTCCTTGGGTGACTGGCTCTAGCATCTTGCACTGACTTTATTGGTCTGATTTCTTATGTTTTGGGAACAGTAAGCGCAAAGCATGTGAAGAAAGAATCATTAAGCCCTTTCAAAATATTGGATATCTATACATGTACCTCCGCACAACGTTTCCCCCAAAATAGAGCGCGTGTAATTAGAAATCTTAGATTATCTGCACAATAGTTATTTATATAACCTAATTATTGTTTTATTTATCAAACAATGTGCCCAATTACGTTACTTTTATTTTGAAAAACTGGATTAACACAGGCAACGGCCATACTGGATCCTGTGGGAGAGGAGTAACCAGTACTGAAGGTAAGTTAAGTCATTTCATTTGGGATTTTAATTATTGATATAGTGCAGAAATTTGAACATTAGTCAATGTACGATAATGTAATAAAACAAAATCAAACTTAAATGTGAATGGCAGTGCGGAGCATCAGTTACTTGTGCGTGTTTAAGGATTGTTTTCAACAAGGCTGCAATTCATATGACTGTAAAATATTAACCTGTTTTGTTTTGCGGCTAAAGAACTGCCTCGTTCACACTTGCGTATTTCCCGACCACAGGTGGAGCGGAGCTGCCATGAACAGGCATTTGAAGACCTTGTTGCCTTGTGCGTTGAGGTTTCAGGCGACCGATGTTTTGTTCTCGTCTGCTAGGACTTCCTCACCATGCTCACCATGTCTACTGACACGTCTTGCACCTTTACGCAGCCACACGACGAACGTAAAAACGCGCTCATACCTTCAGTATCTTAAAAGGAAAATCAAAGCCCCACCAGCCCCTCCATACAGCCATGTGTGTCAGGTAGGGGATCCTGTTCTGCGCTCAAAGGCTGCAGCTGTGGACCCGGGAGCTATTCGAGGAGCAGAGGTACAGCAGGTGATAAAGACCTTGGTAGCGGTCATGCGCAAACTGGAGTGTGTGGGACTGAGCGCACCGCAGATTGGCGTACCGCTCCAGATCATAGCTCTGGAGTATCCAGACAAGATGCTGGAGGAAAGCTCACCTGCCTCCGTGCAGGTCCGCGGCCTGGTCTCAGTGCCTTTGAAGATATTTGTTAATCCTCAGCTACGTGTCCTAAATGGACAGACTGCCACCTTCCAGGAGGCCTGTGAGAGCATCTCAGGATACTCAGCCTCTGTGCCACGCTACATTTCTGTAGAGGTCTCAGGTAACAACCTGTTCAGTCTTCATCAGGCAAAGCAGTGTGTAATTGTTATTAAAAATATAATATTTGATGATGAAACCACCTGCTGTTTCTTTTCAAAGGACTGAATGAGAAAGCTGAGCCTGTGACCTGGCAAGCGAGTGGTTGGCCGGCCAGGATACTGCAGCACGAGATGGATCACCTCAGTGGAGTTCTTTACATTGATCGTATGGACAGTAAAACTTTCATTAATGTGAACTGGGAACAATACAATGAATAGCAGTTACATATAAACTACTGGTCATTTTGAGTAGCCTTGGAACCGGTTTTAATGACTGATCTGTGCTTTAACGGTCTGTAACCATGTATTATTTCATCATTGGATGTGTTTATGCAAATGATCTGCATAAAAATATATGGAGGGGGAAGACTTAACTCTAGACAGTTAAGTCTGATAAGACATTGTAAAGTAATATTAATGTCTTGTGTTTAAAGCTGATATTAAAGGTTGCCTGTTTTGAGGACACCAAGATTTAGGGACAATTTCTAATTTTCCTTTAACATTAATTTTGCTTTTTGTTACATCTTTTATGTATATACTTGTAAATAAAACAGAAAGCAGCTGCTATAGTGAAGCTGCATTTAACACACAGTTTTAAGCTGCAGGGTTGCTATGGCAATCAGAAAAACTATTCCGTTTTCGGCATAAGCATGTTTCACTCACCGGTTCTTTCCCTGCCAGGCTACCAGATTTATGGTTTTCATGAATAATCTAGCTAGTTTGAAAGGGCAATGCATTAAACTGGAAAAAGAAAATGAAAACAAATTTATTTTAAACAGATGAGGAGTGGTCATAAATTGATTGCCACACTTGGACTCCACGGGGTTTTCTAACCAACAGATTTAGCAATACTGGGCACAGCAATACCTACACAGGTTGTAAAGCTCAGGGTAGATTTTAGATTCTGTGCTTCTTGTTTTTCAAGGCACTGCTCATTGTTACAGGAAACAGAGAGGAAAACTTTACAAGCAAGGCAAGCAACTTTAAGCTGTTAAGGTACCGACTGGTGAAGAGGCATCGGCTTAGAAAGTGTGCATGTTTCTTCTTTGTTCACTACAATAAGAGTATTCAGGAGTGAGCCTGATAGACGTTGTTAGATGTTTTTTACACCCTGTTTCAGATGTGTTTTTTTTTCAGTTTTCAATTTCAGCTGCCATTCACACACAGAGTGTTTGCGCTGCAGAGTGGAGCAACAAGAAAGTTCTACAAATATTCTTTTACCCAATGGATAAACAGACAAATCAGCCATTTTGCTTAATAAAAATATAATTCTTAAAAGTGCATCTGTTTACCCTCAAAAACATTCAGACTTGTGATTGGGCAACAGTTACAACCATCAACCAGGAAATCTGTTTGCAAGACAGAATACTTAGTATTTACTTAGCATTTTGGTTAATAACAGCCATGACGAACAAAAATTTGTTTTTAAAAGTTTTGTTTGGTTTTCTTTTTTCTATTCTGTAAATACTGCACACTTTAGTTCATCATCTGGCACTCCCACAAAAGTGTATGATAATGAAAATGAAAAATGATATTCATGTATTCACCCATGATTTCTGTCCTTCTACGTCCTTCCCCCAAAGTAAATATCTGTCATCAGATTATGACAATTTCTTTTTTTTTCCTTCAGTTTTTGAACTGGAATTTGTAATAGCTAGCTCTCATTTCCTTATGCCACAGACAACACTCAAACTATAGTTCAATAATTACAATTAACAATTTGGCATGTCCGCAATTTATTTAATTACTTCTTTTCCAGCAAAACAGTTGCACAAACCATAGACACCATATTTTTTATGAAGAAAAGCGAAAACAGAAATAAAAACGCAAGCCTAAAAATATATAAAATATTCCCAAATTAGACAACAAATGACATGACTTATTAAGACAAAGTCTGAGTTTCTGTGTATCTGTAATACAGTGGTCTAAACCACAATACATATATAAAATATTACTGTTCATGGCTGTTTAATCTTCTGGCAGTACTCAGGATTTCATTTGTAGTGAACTTTTCAAAAGGATTTAGTTGTGGCAATAAGGAAAAAAAATATATATAGCCATATCTTCCAAATGGCAACATGCTTTTTAAACAACAACATAAGTACTAAAGTTTTGGTTATTTTAAACAGATGAGGAGTGGTCCAAAAAAGGATTGCCACACTGGCACTCCATGGGGTTTTCAAACCAACAGGTTTTGCAATACTGGGCACAGCAAAACCTACACAGTGTGTAAAGCTTAGGGTGTGAACATCTTGAGCACACAGATTTTAGTTCCTGCACTTCATGCTTTCCAAGACACTGCTCATCCTTACAGGAAACAGCATGGAAAACTTTGCAAGTTAGGCAAGCAAATCTAGGCTGTGTTACGGTACAGCACTGGTGAAGAGGCATGGGCTTAGAAAGTGTGTATGTTTCTTCTTTGTTCATTTCCGCCAAGTACTGCACCAAATGACTACAAGCCTGGCACCTCTGTGCTTCCTCACATAGGCAGTCGTGGGATTTGTTACAAGTATAACAGATAACATAAATGTGATCTTTTTCATTAAGACAAGTGTGTCTCTGCGGTGATGCTGTCACACCCCTTTCCCCTTGAGGTGGCTGTATCACTCCTGTAGTTTGCACATTATGTTTCATACCTTTACAGTACTGAAGGTCCTCACACGCGAGATCATGGATGTAATGACAGTCGTGGCACACAATGAAGACAAGGGCAACAGATTTGTCCACACACTGGTGCTTCATCAGCTTATTTTTCTGGGGTTTTTCCCAGCCTTGTATAATTTCAGTTTGTGTTTTGTGTGATAGCACATCCATTCTGTCCTGCTGTGCCTGTCTTAAACCATGCCCTTGCTCCAGGTAGCTGATCTGGGCACCACTTCCTGGTGCAACTTGTTTTTCATAATCAGAAGTTTTCAATGGCTTTGGACTCAACTCTGTTAGACAGGACTTCGGATTAATCTGGTAAGTCATTGTTGTGACACAGACAGCCTTTGCCTTACTAGTGCTTTCATCATTCTCCCTCTTTGATGACGTAGTGTTACTGTGAGATGTCCCATGTAATGACTGAGACTCTTTGGGGGGAGTGTAAGTACAGTTGGGTGGTGCAGTCATGTGATTGGTCTCTGCCTGCTCTCCAGGCTCCAGATGGTCATCTGTGTATAGATCTAGATCTACTGTCATATCATGCTCCGAGCTCTGTGGAGTAGACTCTATCTTTCTCTTTGCACTGTCCTGTGCTATATGAAGGCTGTGGCCACGCTTCCTTTCCCGAACGAGCTGCAGTTCCCACTCCAAAGAACTGCCGAAAGGAGCTACACAGGAAAGCAGCAGCCGACACTCTATACGAGCAGTGAAGAAAGCACAAGCCAGCTGAAGAAGAGAGTCTGCATGTACTGGTTTAGAACTCAGCCTCAGCTCCTCCTCTTCACCAATGCCCATAGGCTGGTATCCTAGTAATCCAAACAGCTCCTTAGTTTGCTGTGATGTCAAACCAGGTTTTACACAGTGGGTGAACATACCTGAAAACGTCTGAAGAAAAGGAAATCAGCCTTTAAGTAATGTTGTCTTAAATATACATGTACTAACTAAAGTGTAAACATTTTTTACAACAATATACACTTTATTTTAACTCAGGAAAGTGTCTTTGCACAAGAGAACCTTAGGCTCACACCACACTCTAGAAAAGTTCCACTGTAAAGTACTGTCATAACTTATTTTTTAAAACACCTGGGAGAAAAATTTTAAGAATCTGGTATGATCTGAAGTAACACTGACATGGCATGTATTCAGGTAGAATGCTTGTTTGACATTCTAACTTAGACTTGCCAAGATGAAGCCAAAAACAAACAAAAAAAAGAAAATATCATACCTTCACCACTCTGTACTCCTTCCGCCACGGACAAACATAGAGGTTTAGCGCTGCAAGCTCAAGCACTTCAAAGGCCTTAGCAAGTCTTTCGAGCCCAGTTTGCCCTGATGTGGAGGGCAACGCTTCAAGCGAAGTCTCCATCACTGATAGTGGGTCTAGCCCAAGTGGGGAGTGGGTGTCCTGGGCAGCCCCTTTGGAAAGAAGACCCTCCACTTCTTTGCACAGGTCTTCATCCCTGCACACCAGATTCCAGTCACCTTGCTGAATCCTTTGTTCCAGGTTGGCCTGGTACTCTTCCACAAGACCATCTCTATTTTTCTTAACTCCAGCACTCATCCTAAAAACAAGGAATACAAAGAATACAAGTTAGATATGTAAAGCTCTTTATATACAAAATGTTAATATGTAGGCATACAGTCACTAACCCTGATTAAAATTGATCTCAAACGACTTAAAAATTAACTTACCAACTTTACTATATAATGCTGTCGCCTGACAGGTTGCTAACTTAGATACATAAATACCACCCAAACAATTAAAACATTAAGTTTCTGTTCACAGCTCAATATGTAGGCTAGCCAACACAACTAACTGGCCAGCAGACTAAAGTGAAAACGAAAGTCCATTTTCTATCGAGATTAAACTGGACTCACTAATATATTAACTAACAACTAGCTGGCTACCTAAAATACTATTTAAGATGGCATTTAAAGCCCACTCACAAAACACCAGCCCTAAAATCGTTCAAACAAAAGCAATTTTATCCAGGTTCGGGTTAGCTAGCTATCTTGCTAGTTGAGGGGCTAACCGAGATTGCTAAACCCAGCAAGCTGCTCGACATTGAACACATAAACGTTTTAAAAACGTAAAACTGTAAATACGTTAAATAAACCCAAAGACCTGAGATCCGTAGGTTTTCTTCGGCGTTAGAAGTTGAACAGCACCTCTGTAAGAAACATAAAAACTGTGAAAAGGAACTCGCCAGACAGCGAAGAAACTGAAGTGAAAACAAGAAAAAACTTTTTGGACGCAGCTTCCGCAGTGGACGTCAAACAGGACGGAATGTAAAGAGCGGTGTGGTGAAACAGCGCCTCCCTGAGGCGGAGAGAAACCGTGCTGTTTCTTAAAGGGGAATTCCACTGTTCCGTTTTTCAAAATGCATCCATAGTTCAGTCGCTGATACGTTATCAAAGTCATTCAGAGTTTGATGTGAAATGGTTCATCGCCATTGTGAACAGTTCAGACTCTCTGGAAATGAACGTTTCACATGAAACCTTAAACGACTTTTAATAATTGAATTATGCAGCAATTTTGAAAAATGGGTGGAATTCCCCTTTACATGATTATATCAGAATTGTTATAGACAACAAGAGTCGTTTACAGTATAGTAAACAACCCTAAAATAAAAGAATGGCTACTTCAGTGAAACAGTGACTCATGCAGAAGTAGCTACCAGAACACTAGAGTCAGAAATATGCCTCAAATTGGCTACTGAGGTCCCTGAAAGCCCTGACATTATTTGTACTTAAATAATCAAGCTACACTCATTTTCTTGCGAGTTGTTATCACTCAACCTAGGCATGATATGTATTGTATAGCTGAAATTCATGTGTACTTATTTTTGTAATAAGAACAAAAAGACAAGAGATAAGAGAGTAAGCAGCAGAGTCACCCAGAATTCCTAGCGAGTCAGTTGCATTCTGTTTGTTGGCCCTTATTTTTCTTTCAAATGTTTTTGTCATGTTATATATAGGGTAAACATAAGTGTCCATAATGTGTCCTAACCATGAATGCGTTGAGTGTCTCTGTTTAGGAGTTAGTTTGGTTGTAATAATACAGTTTATTAATAATATCTGTCTGCAGAGCCGGAGAGGCACAGTTTCACGCCAGCAGTTCCACTTCAGCAGGTTCAAGCCAGTGGCCTTGTTTTGGTTTTTCTTGGCGAGTTTTGGGCTAATCAACATTTCAGTTGTTCCTAACCTTCCTATAAGGACTTTGTTTACATGGCACAACAGCGCTGTCCTACTGCCCATGTGTTCCATCGCCTTGAAGCCGCTGGAGTGAAACTGCGGGTGTAAATTTGCCCCAGTAGAGTCTGGTTGCGGCTCTGCAGTCAGACCCTTCTCCAATTTATACTACTACCAAGTTAGTAGTTTTCTTAAAGCTGTATTAGGCGTATGTAACAGTGAAAACACTTTATGAGATAATTTCTTTTACATCTCACTTTGTGATTAATATTATGTCAATGTTGTGAAAACTAATAAATTACATAATATAATAGTTACTGTAACCTAACTCAAGTTTCTGGAAACACTGTAGTTTGTGTCATGTATTCTTACACTTTCTTAGTAAAACTTACATGTATTCAACTTCATGTATAATTTCAAACAACTTTAAAACTGAGTTTCAAAACTCAGTACTAGTAAGGAGTGAGTTAAAAGGTAGTATTATTTATTATGCCTCTTTATAATGTGGAATGTAGTAATGTGCATTATACAACATCATTTATGTCTATGTCTAGTATTCAGTATGCATTATTATGTAGTACATAATATTCATCTGTAGAATGTAGCATGCAGTATGCATGTGTAGTGGATAGTATGAATTTTGACACTGTTTATGTCTGTGGTATGTAGCATGTATTTATGTTTAGTATGTAGCATGCATCTATAGAATGAAGCATGCATTATTGTGCAGCATGTAGTAAGCATATGTAGTATGTAGCATTTTTCATGTAGCACATATATAATATGTCATAGCCATTTATGTCTATGTATGTAGTTTTGTTAGGTTACATAAAGTTGTTCTCAGAGCTAAGCTGTTAGAGGGCAGCCTTGGAGGGGCACCACTGGCACGTGTAGGACAGAACTGATGCACTACCACTTCCAGCAAGAGGAAACCACACTATTCTTAGTCCAGCAGTGACACTGAATTGTTTAAAAACTCCAGAAACACTGCTGTGTGTGATCCCATCTGTGCAGCACAAACGCACACCATGTCAGGGTCACTGCAGTGCTGAGAATGATCCACCACCCAAATGATATCTGTGGTGCTCTGTGGTGGTCTTGTGGGGGGTCCTGATCATTAATTAACAGGATACAGAAAGACTAACAACTCATACAGAGCCTGATGGTATATTTGTTGTAGCCCGATTGCACTCATTATGAGTCATTTTCAGTGTCAGGTATAGAAGTGATCTACATTCTTATACAATCCTAGTTAGAGATAACAGATAATCCTATTATCTGTTTACCTCTAACAAAGCAAATAAGTGTTCTTAGCATATCTTACCGCATTCATGTACTCATCCTCAGGAGTGAAAGTGTATACATTGTAGTAATAATCCACAAGAGGGTGCCAAAACACAGACTGCAGATTTACCTATGCTTTTCATGCTCCAAAAAAACATTTATGCTTTTAGGTTAGAGATCCTCTGTATTCACTGTATGCATGAACATGTCTAAAGACAGAATAAAGTTTTTGTTCAGCATTGCATTAAAAATGTTTGCGGAACACTTCAGTGATAGGACCTTATCCCACTGTTGCCAAAAGTGGAGGGGTGAAAATTAAAAAGCAGTTCCAGCCCTCTGCACAGGCGTGGCTACAGTGACAGTGACAGAAGGGCGGACCTGTGCTCCCTGCGACTAGTTTAAAGGTCTCCATGTCTCCACACTCTGTGTCTCATACAAAATCTCACCGAGCTGTTGTGCTGTGTTAGAGGAGTGGACCTACCGTGATGGCCAACGGGGACAGGCTGGTTCTGGCACTTGGAGGAGCAGGCACAGTGGGCTCAGGCCTGGTGAAGGCACTTCTGGACAGAGGTAGGCAGGCAAATTTTAATTTCTGATTTCCACTAATCAATGATGCACACATTTGCAAAGCTGTAAAAGACCAATAGGTTTCACTTCACCAAATGATACTTCTAGAGTTGACTGGTTATAGAATATATATATATATATATATATATATATATATATTATATATATATATATAGCTGTTTACCTGCTGAATTTAACATTAAACATAACATTATAAATGAAAAATTAATTGTAGCATGTACAAGGGTTATGGCATATTTAACAGATGATATTATGTTATTATTCAGCAAACAGTTATTGTGTTAAATTCAGCAAATAAGTAGAAATTGTGCTCTAAAATTTGCAGAAAAATTACATAATTACATTTTCCATGAGAATGTGTTAACTTACTTTCAAATAAAAAATCAATAAAAGATGTAATGTGATGTCTAAGTTACCTGATGTCAACATATGAATGTATGCTGAAGGTTTTAAAGTTGCCGTGATCTCCAGAGACAGTAACAAGCTAGAGAAGCTCAAAGCATTTGTTTCACCCACCACCAAAGGCAACCTGACCACTCTGGTGGGAAACGTTGGTAAGTCCTCTTCTTCACTGGTCCTTTCTTACAGGATGTCCCTGTTCATCGTGAGGGATTTTGTTTCAAAAGCAAAGTGTGCGTGTGTGTCTGCAGGCTCAGAGGAGGGAGCTGAGGAGGCAAAGCAGGCCCTGCTGCGCTCTGTGGGGAAGGTCACGGATGTGGTGTCCTCTCTTGGCTTCAGCTGGTGGCAAGGAGGACCACCACACACCCAGTCGCTTAAAGAACTCCACTGGGTGAGCTGCTGCAAGAACCTGCTCATTCCATTCACTCACATGTATATATACATATAGTAGCTAAAAGCAGATAATTATTAGTTAACAGCTCATTTACTATACATACACTGCCTGTGAATCATTTGGGGACATGCAACTTTAAAAAATGCTTTAATAATTGAAATTTCTTGGTCAGTTTGCAATAGCTTAACACATTAACAAGTCTAAGCAGAATTATTTTAAATAAAACAATGTCACACATGGAAATACTTGTGACAACAGCTGAAAAAAACTAACTATATGTTCACCACCAATAACAAAATTAATAGTGATTGTTCATATGCAGAAAGTATATGCAGCAGTTATAGCAGCTAAGGAAGCCTTTTAGACAAATGTGCCATTTTCATATATTTTTTTTTGTTATTGTCATAAATATTTCCATGTTAAGTTATTGCACACTGACAAAGAAAATGTAGACATTTTGAAAAGCCAGGTGTGCCCAAACTTTTGATAGTCATTGTTTAACAACTAAGCATTTATTCATTCTCTACTGCCAATGCATGCATCATTGTTCTCGTTCCCCTTTTTTTAACCCAGTCTAATTTGCAGAGGTCCTCAGTTTTCCTCCATGACTGGTCCAGCATTTTTTACATTGTATTTGTCGTCTACTAACCCTCCTTCACTCTGCTCATTAGGTTATTGAGACACTGCTATTCAGCACCTTTGTGTCTTGGAAAGCCTTCTTCCCTCTGGTGAGAGATGACCCCAACTGCACCTACACATTTATTACAGGTGGGTCATACAATATGCATGCTTGTGAACATAAGAATTAAGAGAACCTGGCAGCCTGTTTTAGTGACTGACATTTAGTTACTGACATTATTACATGATTTAGACCAGTGGTTCCAATTAAATGTAACATATGTTACAAATGCATTTTGGAATGACACTCTTCAGTTATTGATTTACGAAAGCCTCATTTGAGTTGAGAGGTACATTACCAGTTTCAGCGATTTGAGGGGCATTCTGTGTCCTGCAGGGGGTGCCGGTGAGAAACTGCTGATGCCAGGCACAGGCTTCCTGACCGTAGGGGCAGCCAGCACGCTGGCATTCTGCCAGGTTCTGAGAGAGGAGTACCCAGAGGTGCCCTGCAAACTCAATCAGGTCTGCCTTACAGTATTTCAGAGCTATACCTATAACAATTACACTGAGCCTTAGATCTAGGCATAAGCTTTAACCAGGGCTCAATTTGAGGAGGGGGGCAAGGGGAACCATCACCCCAGTCAAACAAAGAAAAAGACAAAAATGATCACCTTTATAAAAGTGTTGTCCTGCTCCTTCCATTTGAATGGTATTTAAAATAAATCACAGAATGTTAATATCCTTCTGCCAAAAAAGTAAGTATAATTATAGCTAATGACCAACTCATTCTCTCTCTTGCCAGTCTCTCTTGGTCTTTTGAATCCATAGCGTCACTGTTACATTTACAAAGCCCTTTATTTGCACTGAAGTTTGTAGAAAACAGCTGTATGTTTCTAGGGCATGTATACCCCAGACCCAGTGTTCCTTCATTATAATTTTGGAAACAGGCCTATATTCCCAGGGCCCTTTGTTTGCTGGTTGCAATTTTCTTCAAAACTATTTCTATGAATCAATTTCATATGTTTCATTAATGTATAATATTGAGATTGACCTAATATATAAAGAGGGAAAACAGCCTGGGAACATAGGAACCTGGCAAGATAGGCGCACCCCTATTACCATTTGAAACTATGTGTTAAGTATTGACCTTTTCATGCAGGTGAAGATCAACACGGGTGTTGCCTCTCCGGAGCGCATGGCACCTGGGTACCTAAATCATGTGGATTTAGGCGAGGCTGTGGCTACTCTGGTGGAGAGGAGGAACACGTCTCACACTGTCTTTACTATTAACTCCCCCTCTGACCTAAAAACTGTCATCCTGGAAGGCAATCTGTAGACACCCTTCAGCCACTGAACAAAACCATAAAACCCATTCAGATTCTCTGATTTATACTCTGCATCCACTTTAGCTTATCATCCGTGCATATGTGTTGTTTTCTTTGCATGTCAACTAACTGTTTTTGTAAAGAGAACAGAAAGCTTTGTTGTAATTCTTGATATGCTTCCAATGTATTTCGAATAGTTAATAGACAATCATGAAAATAAAGGTGCCAGAAAGCGTTCTTCAAAGCGATGCCACAGAAGAACGATTTTGGGTTCCCTAAAGAACCTTTTAGTGGAAAAAGTTCTTTAAAGAGTCACTTTTTGTAAAAGAGATGTGTGAGGGTGGTGAACATATTTAAAGTTTGAAGGACATGCCCATAGGGTCAAGCTTTTGCACCAATTAAAGGCTGGAAGTGTACGTCCAAGCCAAGAACCTTTATTTTAAAAGTGCAGGGTGCACATGCACATGGTCTGAAAAAGAGACAGAAAGAGCAGCTTGACTCCAGGGTGAGAGATTAAGAGATACAGAAGGAGGCTGGAGGAGAGGCATGCTTGGGAACAGGAGAATAAGAGAGAAAAATGTTCTTGGACCATACTCTGGCTTTAGAGTTTTACCATGCCTGTGGGTTGTTGTGAGAGCGGTAGGAAGGGAGGAGGGGTCCAGACGGCTGCTTTGAGTCCCCCTAGCGTGACTCCCTGCCCTGTTCACAAACATCCCTCATTTCTGTTCGCTCCTGCTTATCTGGCTCCAATTATCCAGGCCACGCTGCCCAAAAATAAACAGAGCTGCGAGAGGGGCTGGGAGGTCCAGGGGCAGCCCAGCGCAGGAGAGCGGACGAAGTCACTGAGGGCATTGCTATCTTTTGTTTTTGTCATTGTCTCATTTGCATATATGCTTTAGCAACATGAATGTATATTTGACATGCCAATAAAGACATCTGAATTCACAGGAGTGACTGATCACTGGTGGAGGATGTCAGAGGAAGGAAGGGGCTTTGTCAGGAATGCTGGACTATGTTTTATTACGACTCACAGCCCAATTGTATACAATTTTAATGAACTGTGAGGACATGTAGGGGGTGCACTTTGAGTGTAGCTACAGACACATTTCATTCTTGGTTTGGTGGTTAAAGTCTTGATTCACCAATAATAAAACAGCTCTCCTCTTAAAGGCTCAAACACCCGCCAACACCTGGGTGGCCAATTAGATTTCAGGGACAGCGCTGGCCACTCCGGCCACCCCTTTAAAACTGCACACAAGCATGCGCCACAACACTGCAAACTTATCAACAATTAGACTGGCTATTTCTTGTAAGAAATATAATCTTAAATCATGACAATCAAAAAAAACTTAGCCATTACATTTGCCAGTGAAAAGCTAGTTTGTGTATGCTATGTCAGCTAGATGGAATTGCATAGCTGTTGGAGAGTGAATGTTCAATGACTACACTGGCTAATTGTGTCCAAAATAAAATCTATTTAAAAATCAGCCAAGTGGAAGTTTCTCAGGCAGCATTTTGTGCAAACATTTAATTCAGAAAGAATTCCTGGCTTTGTATACTGCCTGAGAAACCAGCATTTTGTTACATTCTGGATACAGCCATGATGACTTTTGTTGTGCTGGTGTGTAACTATTTCTAATCTTTTCATGGCACTTTGAATAATGTCAACAGGATCTGTTTCCATCTGCTAATTTGTCACCATGAAGCACTTGTTTGTCACCAGTATTGAAAAACAGACCAACAGAACGAACCCCATACCCATAGGTTTACCACATCCATTCTGCAGGCCTATAAAAGTGTTTAGTCTTGAGGGGGGTGAGTCACCTGAACTTGATGAAATGGAAACTACGGTAAACATGGGCCACAGAACACAGAGGGTGTGACCTCTACTGTATTCCCCTCCTCTGGATCCCATTAAAATCTGGAGCTCTTCCCTTTCATTGAGACAAGGGAATTTAAATATTGAAACAGATTTAAAAACAAAACGTCAGCCTTGGCAACGCAACACTCCCTTTTTCGTGAGACAGTGAAGTGTGGATGCCAAAAGAGCATCGCTGCTTGTTAATTCTGAAAAACATGCTTCAAACACATCATGAATTCATAATGAACAATGCAGGAGGCCTCAGCCATGCAGACAGCAAAACTAAAAAAATATGTTACTTTACCAGGCCAAACTGACAAAGATACATCAAAAACTGAATACTTAATGATGGGATTAGCCTGTATTATATGCACTAGAATACTGTTAAGTATGTGGTGTTATTGGATGCCAATAATTCCTGCTAGCACACTCAAGAGGCTCGGATCATATCATTAGCCAGCCCTGAGGTCTCACAGAGACCGCGAATAAAAGCTCCAACTCACGCTATCTATTTCTGGCAAATACCTTGCAAACTCATTCAAGACATCAGACTTGCAGACTTGTTTAAAGTGCATGACACAAAGTTTAACACAGGAGTGCATTTGAGGGATCATGCAATACATTTTACTTGCAAAAAAGGTGAACTGACCTATAGTTTGGCTTGGGAAAAGGCACAAAGACATTAAAAGCTCCATTTGCTACATTTTTCTTGTATTTTATTTTTGTCTATTACATTTGTGTGGGTTTATGTACCAAAAACAGCTGTAACTCATTTTTACCTTTTTTCAAACTCTTTTTGTCTTTTACAATTAAACAGGTCGTTTTTGTTAGTGTGCCTTTAAGACTGATATACGTTAATAACCTCTGTTCTGATTGGTTTGACTAATCTGCAGTAGACTGAAAGGACATAAAATTGATGTTACAAATTCAAAAAGGGGTTGTTTTTGCAGCTTACTTTTCACATAGTTGTGTGCAAACATTGGGCAACCCAGTCAAATGATGTGCTGATTTTCTAAGTGAAAAAATAAAAGCCAACAAAACATGAAAAGTGGCCTATACGAAAGCTATGGCACATTATATATGTTAAATGTAGCAAATGCCACATTGAAGTTTGTTACCTGTGGAGCTTAACGTAATTCCATTTAAAAAAATCAGCAAAACATGCCACTTAACTCTGTGTTTAGGCTTTTGCATGCAACTGTATGAAAACTGTTTGGCGTGAATTGTACATGTTGAAGCTTCAACAATGTTTATATACTACATAAAACTCTTATTTCCAAAAAAATGAGGGAAAGTCAGTTTCCCATGGTTAAAGAATTCAACACTGAAGCTGCATGAGAGACATTGTCAAGATTTTCAAGAAGGTTTGAATGAAGCCTATACAATGCTGTAGGAAGGGCACAAGCTTTATATGATTCTCTGCTTATTCCAGGATCAAGTACAGACTGTCTTGTGTTGATAGCCCCTCCACACAGACATGCACTGAAGCACTAATGTAGGGGACAAGACAAGTGGACTGGAAGGGATTTAAAGGGACGCTCTTAGACAAAGAGCTGGGCTACTGGAGTTATTAAAGTTCCCAAAGGGGCGAGAGAGGGGCTATTCTAGGACAGAGGTTATCGGCCCAGCCTCCAACTGATTCACAGTGGCATGTTTTCTCCTTTGGCCCGGAAACTTTTGGAACAATCCTGCCATCTGCCCTTCAAGCTTGCTAGCCACCCCAGGGCACAAATCTCGCCTTGCCGTGCGAAACCCAAACATCTCTAATCCACCCAAACCGAACATCTTTGGCTTGTGCTGCTAATTAAATACAGCATAAGTTATACACAAAAAGTGAAGCTCCATGCATAGCACTCCTCTTAGAATAACAAAGCCTTTATTATAATGTGGTACATTGTATGTATGAATGAATAAATAAACAAACAAAGAAACAAACAAACAAACACACACACAAAGTACAAGTTATCCAGACATTTAACAGAAAATTTCAACTAAATACAATTATTTTTGCACACCTCCAAAGAAACATCTAAAGTTCGTTCTAGTTTCTGCTACTCACAATTCAGGTAAGCCCAAACACGTTCAGTGATGTTAAGGTCTGGACTCTAGGGTGGCCAGTCCATTGCTTTGAGAACACAAGCAGCATCTTGTAGCGCTTTTCTTCTTTGGGTACCATTTCCTTATCTTAGTAGTGGCTTCTTGACAGCTACACATCCTTTCAGACCCGTAGTGCCAAGTTGTCTTCTCACAGTGGAAGAAAGGACAGAAACACCTGTGGATTCAGATCTGAAGCAAGAGTGGAGCTTCATTTTCCTCCTATCTCTCAAAGATGAAAGCTTTAAGTACTGTTTATCAGATGGTGACAGTTTGGTAATCTACCTGGTCTTACAAGGTTGTTGGTTCCTTTAATAATCTTTAATATATTTTTTTTAACATTTGATTTTTCACTTATTCCCCTTTGACCTCACTCTTCCTTATATAAGTGGATTATTTAATATGTAATCTCTTCTGAAACATCTTAACTATAAATAATTGTACTTAATGGCCATTTTGACTGGAAATAAAATAAAGGCAATCTATATAGATACACAGAGAGACATATGAGGAAAAATATTACTTGTTAAATAAAGCATTCCAAGGTAACAGTTTCTTACATCTTTATTGTCAGAAAATCCAACGCAGGCCATATACTCCCACTCATTCTCCTATACGCATACACATTAAAAGATTATCAGTAGCAAACATCTTTCAAGATTGCAGGAGAGTCTACATAAAGTACAACAGTCACATTAGTGGATACACAGATACATAATTATACATTTACATACACACAATTCTAGAAGATTTCTCACAGTTATTACAGATAGTAGACAGGTGGTACAGCAATGTTAGCATTTCTTCAACTTTTTTCTCCCTCCCATATTCTTTTTCAACTCATTTGCTTCTTTGAAATGGAGAGTAAAACATACTTAAATATCTAAATAGTATCACATAATAAAAGCATAAAATTTAAACTTTCCATATGGAAGCAGGTGTGAAATGGCATACATTAGAACACTAAAGTAATAAAGGACATATTTTCACATTATCAAGAGAGTAAACTGAAAAAAAAGATGGTGAAAAGTGCAAAGTTCCCTAGCAGCATGTATTGCAATGCATTTTCAGCAGCACCTTGCACTAAAGTCAGAAAGTATTGGCTGAACATTTAATGTATTACAGGTCTGAGTATCAAACAGTAGTGCTGATTCGGGGGTGGGTGTCACATGCTGATGTGTTTTTTTTGTCGTAAACTGCTCATTGAACTCTTTTTTCAGTTCAGGATGAAGCTTAGGCTGGCTCCAAAAACCACTTGCTAAACATCTTGTCTTTTCTCAACCTATGCATTAATGGCTTCCCCACTATTCATCAAAGCATATGCATAAAAATTCAGAGAAACTGTGCTCTGCAAGCATGCAATGAGGTGATGAAATGGAAAGACAATGTTTGGCTTGAGAATACAGGACAGGAGTTCAATGCATCCTATCTAAATTTTCATCTGGTTTACTACTGGGAACTAGAACAAACAATTCCAAATAGAGTCCTCTCTGTGTTCCTAATTGGCATACGCTTATCAGGTTCTTTTTTCTTCTTGCCCAAGTACATACTCATAAAATATTGCTGAAAATTGTTTACTTAAAACTAAAGTTCTCCCTGCCATGAGTTGCAATCTCTTCACGCATCAGTGCACAAAACATTCTTCACAGAACTACTGTTGTCCTTCCTGAGAATGTCTGTTAACCTAGTTCCATTTAAGACAGTAAATACTTGCAGTGCTTTAGTCTTCCATTCACTCCCACTAAAACATTCTGAACAATGGCATTATGAGGAAATTAAAAAGGGTGAACAGAGAATAAAAATTAAGCACGCCATTTGATTTCATTCCATGTCTCCATTAAATGTGACGACTGCCCCAACCAATTCCCTCATAACATCAATTTCATTCCACTCCGCTAACCCGAGCAGTCTTTCACAGTGGTTTGGGACCTAGCTCTCCAACACAGTAGGACTCTGGGCTCACCAGGCTCTGACGGTAAGCTCTCGAGTCACTTTGTGTAACCTCCTCCACAGTCCCTGAAGAACGGAAGATGGACGTGTATGTCTTACAGAGCCCTGAAATGGACGTGGAGTTCATTCTCTGGGCTGAAAGACTGAGTAGAGGAGGATGTGGTCTGTTGAACATGCATCTCTTTACAACTGTTAAAAGAAGACAAAACATAATTGTGACAAAATGTAACATTTAAATCTCAGACTATAACACATAATGGATAAAGATATGAGAAAAGAACATGCTGTACTAAAGAACCACTTTAGAAAAATCATTTTAAATGGAGGGGACTGTCCATAAAGATTAAAGAGACTTTATAATCAACCTTGGACTAAGAAAATGACAAATAACATGATCATATGCACCACTCATTACCCAGTCCATGCATGGAAACCATGCTGCAAAAACGGCCCGTTTCCAATTCATGGTTTCTGTGATGTCAAGAAAACCAAACATCTATTCACCAATTTAGCCCAAAGTACACTGAGCAAACACAGTGAGAACCTGAGCTACAGCAGCACTGCCAAATACTAAAACCAGGTGATGTACACAGTGGGACAATATGGCCTCTCTACAGCCTATCTTACAAAGACAATTTAAAAACATTAACATATTAAAATGTTTAACACTATTTAATTCAGTTAAACAGAGCGAAGTCAGCATAAATTCATTTAGCCTTTGTTAGTCTATGCGTCTTCACCCGTACTGGTGAAGTGGTTGTTATTGTGTTAGTGTGCATACGCCTGGTGGGAATGCTTAAAAGTGACTGTTGTATCCAACTGCAACTCCATCAGCAATGCTTTTCTGTGTGAGCAGACCCTCCTTCACTGCCAGCATGAGGTGTCTATTCATTAGCGTGGCGGCATACACAGGCTTACATCACACAATATCAGCTGGTATCGGATAAGGTCGAGTACAAGTAAATTAGCACACTATTGGGCTGATACCCGATATCAGTATCAGTATTGATGCGTTCCTACTTGAAATAAAAACATGCAGTTACGCTGACCCTTTGCGGATGAGAGACGATTGGACACCTGCTCTAAACATTTTTAGTGGCATTTCCATTAAGTTGACTCACTTGACATTTTATCCAGCTGCCCACAGTAATTCACCCAAGAAACTGAAATGAAGCAACAAAAAAAAGACACAAAATATGAAGAAAAAACTAAACTAGAAGCCACCAAGGAATAAGGCTTAGCTCCTACTTTTCCACAGCAACAGAGAAGTGAAGCATTCAATTTTAGATGCTCTGTGACTGAGATATATAGAGACACTTAGGCTATTGTAAGAGGAATGTGGACCAGGGGACTTTGTCTCAGCACTGGGCACCGTAGTGCAAGTGACAGCTCTACAGATAGTGCTCACTGCAAAGTTAAATGTTTGGATAAAATGGGATAATTGTGTCACAGAGAGTTTTGATAAGGTGGGATGATGATGTCAGGGAGAGTTAGGAGCTCTGTGCTTAGTTCCAAACTGTGTGCAAGGTCCAAGGGATCCACCATATGACTCAATCCACAGTAACTGACAATATTCTTTACTAAGCTTACTTCCTTTGATAAGAAGTGCATAAAATTGTAAGACTACTGTTGAATTTGATTAAAAAACTTTTAAATGTGAGCACAACACAAACCTTTCACTCCAAAACAGCACTACATAACTGATATGTAATGACGTCACATTATATCAACTTCTAATGCATTTTTTGGCAATAATCTCATGATCGCTTACGAGTCACTTATGAGCGAGATCCCAAACAGAACATACCGTTCACATGTAAATGTCTAATAGCATTATCATTTATACAAACTACCTAGTACTGTGATGCACTGTAAAGGGATGGACAAGTTGAGCAGTGCGACCCTGAACTTACCTGTCTCAGGTGGGCTTGGCAGCCTGCTGCGAAGTTCCAACTAAATGAAGTGACTCCACATACGTTAACGCACTCTGCATTGAGGTTAGGCAGTACCCCTCCTCTCCAATCAGATACCTGTGGAACACATACATAAAACCTATAAAACTCATTCAAAAGGTAAATTATGGACAAATAAATAATAAGGAAAATAAATAATAAATGAGTGGAGAAATAAAATGAGAGAAAATGCTACACAATGTGGTTAAGCAGTTAACATCCTGCTATGCTCCGGAATAAAAATCGTATAAAAATCCTCAGGCTCAGGTGACCGATTCTGAATCAAAATTGTAAAAGGGTTCATTATTGGGGCATGGGCAGCAGGGGCTTCAGTCACAACTGGCTAGTGCATCAGTGGGGAACTGAGGGCCAGACTCCAGCACAATTTGGCAATTTCCCTGCTTTAATATGTCAGCTAAACCTGCTAATTACCTAATGAATTGTGTCAGGTGTGCTTAAGCAGATATATCAGAAACTGTGCAGAAATGTAGCCCTCCAAAATCAGAGTTCCCTACTACTTAAGCTAGAGTTTCAACAGGAACAGTGACATCTGCATTTCCATCACAAGAGTGACATTTGCGTTTTGATCTATCAGAAAGACAATAGCACAGACATTTTGGTCGAAGGCACACATTTAAATGACCATGATGCGTGATCTGCAAAGAATTATTTGTGGTCAGGATTAATTTTGAGACACCAATTTTGAGGCGAGTAACCAGTCAACAGGTTGCAGGCTTGGGTGTACGGCTATTATGGCATTCTGAGTGGGGCAGCGTTGTTCAATTATTAGCTGCTCATAGAAGTAGATGGGCAGGCAACAAATAAGCTGTGTGCCACAGAGAATAACTCAGCAATTAGTGCTGCATTACACGTCATGAAACTATATAACCTCCACTAACAATTTTTTTTGTTGGCTTTTTAACCCCAACAACTATCTATTTTGGCTGAGTTGTAGATATTTCATGACAAACTTAGATAATTATATAATGTTGATAAAGCATAATATTGATACAGATAAAGTAGCAGTAGTAGGGCTGTCACAATCATGAAATTTATATAAAAATTGTCAACTAAAAATTGTGATTTGTCTTTTCTTGTTTAATGCTTGCAACAACTAAAACACACGCCTAAAGTAACCAAATTGGCTGATTAGCCACCTTACTTGCTAGCTATGTTTACTTAGCAGCTAACACCAGATGTACTGTCGTATCAATACTGTGCGCACTTACAGAAATGTCTACAATAGGAATACATTGATACCAGTACTGATATTGGCCTGATATCATGCTCATTTACTCTAACTCAACCTCATAAACAGGCACTGATACCAACATTCGATACCAGCTCAGTTTCTCAGCATGCTTGCTCTGTACTCTGAGCACAGCATGTTGTTTTGAACGAAACAGCTTCATTTGAAATTGCTCACAGACAGAGTTGTCTGTGGGGGCTGCCTTTCATGTAGTGTCAGCCGAACATTTTTTCGTACAGCGCGAGTCACCAAAACAATATGTCTAAATAAAAATTGCACAGAGTATGTCTGGTTTTAGAGGACATTCAACTACAGCTTAACCAGGCAAAAAGACTTCAACAAACACGAAACAGAAGCTGTGATTCCTGCTGTCGCTGTTCTACAGGCACTGTTGAGAAAGGGGGGGCAGGGTTCAGGGTCAAAACTATGAAAACATACTTTACTTAAAGCTGTACAGAAGTTTTTCTGATGTGAAACCTACTCTTCTCCACTGCACAGCTACTCGATCCAAGGTAACTAATTTAGCACAGCTAACTAATGCATGTCATGTACATCAGTCAGCTTGTAATTATTAACTGTTAAGGTACATTGCACCCATTTACACCAACAACAAAGTATGTAATTCATTATGGTATCAGCGAGTACCAAAAAACGTGTACTTGGTCTGAAAAAAAATGGCTTCCCTAGTCTACAGCAAAGCCACACGTTCTCCAGTGTGAAAAATAAGGGAAAAACATAACTCATTCTCCTAGCATACATGCCTAAAATGTTAGAATTAGCTACATAGCTAACAAACGGTACTTGGCACTGCCATCTAAACGTAAGAGCACCAAGATAGAAGTTAGAGCTTTTTTTTTGTTTTCATAAGTCCTTTGATGTCACAATGAAATTCTCTTTTATTTACAGTTATTTGCCTTAACTCAGCACACCTAATTCACATTTTGTTTGTTGCAGCAGAAGTTGACCGTGAAATCTAACGACTGTGAAACAGGACTGCAGTCAGCCTTATTGCGTGGTGCCATGTGTGATCTCATGGTTTTGTGTAGCCTAAAAACCTAAAACCCCAAAAACCCAAAATTGTTTCCTTTTTTTGTTTCCAACATTTAAACATTTATTTTATGGTTGAGTGAGTGGAGGTCCGATAGGTCTAGAGGCTGCTCTGCTGAGTCATGGGAGCTGCATGGGCATGCTCTACGCCAGAGGTGCGGATTACAAGGCTAAAGAAGGAAGGGTGCGAACAACGACCATAACTTGAAGTAGGCAGACGTGATATGAGGAAGCGGGTGGGTTCGGGCATTAATAATCAAGCTTGTGCAGACCTCTAATGTAAGCAAACAGAGGAGCAATTGTTTCTCAGGTGAATAAGAATGTTAACACAGGATGTGAGCAGATTGTGTGAGCAAGAACAGTTTGCCCACAAATACATAGAGAGTGACATAGTAGTTGCATAAGTTTAATACAAAGACAAATGTAAATTTGAGAGTTTAGTGGTACAAAAACCATAGAAAATGTTATATGGTCATATTAAATTTCTTACACCATATTCTCCACAAGTGGGAGAATGCATGTGGGGCATACACCAAGAGAACAACACAGGCCCAAAGGCTTGACCCATACAGTGAGGGATGTGTTCTGCTGGCATATTTTGGGTCCATTTGTCACCTTAGAGGCAGGGGTCACTGCAAGTCAATACAAAATTTTTCTGAATGATCACCTTTATCCTGTAATAAAACATTTCTATCCTGATGGGAGTGGTCTCTTCCAGGATTACAATATTTCCACACACAAGATATGAGGGGTCACTAAATGGTTTGAGGAGTATGAAAATGCTAAGCGACACTACGCAATGGTCTCCGTAGTCACCAGATCTTAACACCCATGGGAGATTTGACAGACATGTACAGCATCATATCAAAACACCGAGGGAATATCTTCTGACAGAATGGTGTTTCTAGCACTCCAGTACAGTTCCAGAGACTTACAGAACCTATGCCTAGCACATTCACATTGGGGCCTTTCCACAGTCCACTTGGAAAGGCCCCAAACCTTACTTGGGCACTTTTTGTTTTCATTTGTTACTTATGGCTACAGATAAGTGACAAATCAAAAGGAAAATCAGAATAAAGTACAACGGCCTAACTTTAGGGATATTCCAGAGTTGCCAGCCCTTGTTGCGTGATAAGGGGAGGATGGGGAGAGTGAAACAGGTGAAAGCAGATCAAATACACAGTGCTTGAACTCTAGTCAACTCTGTGTGACCTGTTAATGTGACAACACGAGATCAACTATAAAACAATACTTAGTGTATTTTGTGTACACTTGGAAAGGAGTTAGTAGGGTGAAAAAAAGAAAAAAAAAGTCTTTTACCTGTACATGAACATGCCACTAATCCAACTTAACACACATGAACTCTGAACAAATAATTACAATCTGAATAATTAGGAGTCACCACATCTATAAGCTGCCTCTAGCATGCAGCATGCTCTGAGCAGTCCTCAGCACTCTTCCAAACCACTGAGTTACATAAATATCTAGAGGGATTTTATTTGTATTTTTATGGAGAGGAAAAAGCCAGACCAGAATATTCCGACATTCCTCCATCACTGCCAATCTAACCAGGCTGTAAAAGGGTGGCTTTTACACAGATAAACAGAACTCTAGGCTGTGGTCTTAGTAGACACGCAATGGCACCCTAGCACCCGACAGGAGGGGTGAGGTGAAAACCAGCAGCACAAGAGCAGTGGAGATAATGATCAGGAACAGGGGACTTTTTTGTAGCAGCTATGTTTTTAAAGTTATTCCAAAAAAAAAAAACACTGATGTTCACAGGGCTGTAACAGTACATGACTTCATTAAATAATTCAAAGCTTAATAACTCAAATAATTGAAATAGTTTAAAGCTGTTGTAAAATATACAATATAAACTGCACATCAACAGAATTCTACATTATTTTTTTTCTACTTTTTTTATTTTTAAAAAACAAGAAACTCCAGAGTGACAAATTCGACACCTTCAATACTACAGCCATCCGTGGCCAGGAGTCCAAGAGCACACTTGGCCTTGTTCTCTCTGGCACAGGTGTCTGTCAGTTGACGTAATGGTTGACATTCTACAGTCCAATGACACTGCGTTAGCGGCAGGTCGAAAAGATGTGGTGGCTGGCTTCGCACGACTCAGAGGAAGCTTGTGTTTGACTGGGTGAGTCCTAACTAGTTGCTGGAATTGGATATGAATAAATTGGGAAGACAATTGGACCCCCCATTAAAAGAGAAAATCTTAAAAAAAAACAAAAACAAAAAAAACAGTAAGCCACTCATGGCTTCTTGGGGCCTATGGCTTTAATAACCTGCTGTACTGCCACGTCCACCATTTATTTCCCGTTAGTAAATACGCTCCCATGTATCCTAGACACAACGGCATGATACAGCCGTGAGAAAAGCAGTTACATGTTAAATGTTAGGTACCCACCCCTCATGGATGAACTCTTCCAGTGCAGCACATTCAGAGACTAGCTGAGGAAGTTCAGTACGCAAGGCCACAAAGGACAGGATAGGCAAGAGGTCATCTGCTCCTCTGTAAAAGACAGGACAAGAAAGGGGGGGGGAGAGCAACCAGATCAGTATTTTTACTGAAGAGTAATAATATAGCATTTTCTGATGTCTAGAGAACACCAGTTCGTTTGCATTTTTGAGGGGGCATTCACGCATCAGCCTTAATACCATTCTCTTTCTGAGTCACCAATCTTGGCAAAAAGCGCAAGCATTCACACGCTACACAGAGACAGGACTGCTCGCGTGAGAAAGTGGCTGGTGTCCTCTTTCTTACTGGCCCAAAGGACATTGGATATCTTTCACCGAGGTGAGGGAGCGGCGGACACAGCAACAAGCTTCACAGAGTGGAGCGATGGCAAAATGCCTAAGAGTACTGGGCCTATTCAGCTATTACTTTACAACCAACATGCATACATCCACAATCTTGTTTGGTCTTGCCAGAATGTTCATTAAAAGTGATTGAATGTGATCAGAACCTGCACAGCCAATCTGTAGTTTGTCTTGGATTGTGGACTGAAGCAACCTTTCCAGGGCATGAAACATTTGCCAAAATACACAAGTAAAGAAGCATTAAATAATTTAAAATATGAAAAGAGGAGTTTGAAAGTTCACAGCACAGTGAAAAGGTCCTAAACAAGTTTAAAAAAAAAAAAACACCCACACAACCATGTAAGAAATCGATGATCGGGGTGGGTTCAGGGTAATTTGGGGGGGGGAATAAAATAAAAGGAGAACTTCATCTTAGATAAAGAGCAATGAGGTCAAGTGAACCCCCCCACTAGGGTCTGATAGCTGAAAAAAGAGGAAATGACGGCTTTTCAAGGGGAAACAGTTGTGTAAATGAGTGTGCAAGCATGTGTAATGGAGAGACAAAAAGAGATGAAGACAATAGAACGGAACAAGCAAAAGAAAGGATTAGAATTGTTGAATTGTTTGTGACCAGGCATGCATGAGCAAATTCATACTCAGGTCACTGTCAAACACAAACCAATTGTAAAACAATTAAACTGCAGATCAATTTTTGGATCAACAAAAGGCCTGTTCTGATAGCTAATGTTACTGTGAAATGATATTTTTTTGAAGCAGGAAAAGGCTCCATTAAACATTTTCAATGAATCCAACCCACATTCATTATAGGCCACAGCCATGCACAGCTCCGGGAACAACAAACGTGACCCTAAAATTTCTCATCCAATACTAAACGAAGGACTGACTTCAAGAAATATAAAAAAGGATCTGAGCATTTCTTAAGCTTGGATTCACTGCATAAGGGCTGCCAGCAGCCACTAGATTCTGGAGTTCTCCGAAATACACCACTGCCGCTTCAGCTGTGACCATGGAGCTCCACTCTGCCAAGTCTGTGCGTCACCAGTGTGCCACTGCACCACAAGCAGTGATCCAAGCAGACACACGCACAGAAATGACCCAAATGCACCTTAAGGGTCACTATGAACCAAAAAAAAGGAAAACAGAGAGACAGAGTGAGAGATAGACAGAGACGGAAAGATAGAGACAGAAACAGACAGAGAGAGTTCGAAAGATGAAGAGATAAGTGCAGACTGAAGGTTCCCAGTGTTTAGGGCGGTGATGGTTGTAGTTTACAAACTTCCTTTACCAAAGTGGTTTTTCAATTGCTCGCGTGAGCTCACACTTTTACTGTCCTCATTACAGCTGTTACAGCTGCGCCTGAGGAAAACAGATTAAAAATCCCAGTGCAGCAGCAGAGATTTAACAAACAGATACAGCTCTACAAACATTTTGTACACACATGCTCAACAGTGAGATCAGCAGATTCCACAGGACAGTGTTCAGTCAGACAAACAAACAAATAAACGCGCAGCATAGAGCCTAAAATATTTGTCCAAACCCAAGAGGACCTAGCTGCTGTGCGTGTCAGGTCTGCACAAATATGGACTGAGCTTTGGTTGGGTTCAAATATAGTGTTCAGGTTCTAACAGCCCACCATCTACTTCTAATAGATTTTACCCTGCATTTTCCCTACCTTAGTCTTTCTTCTTACTTTACTCTCCCTCTTTACTTTCATTACTTAAACTATTTTTAAATCTGAAATGCTGTGGTCAGCAGCTCATGCTGTTGACAGAATTTAGCAGAAAGGTTCAAGAGGTCCAAGCTGGTGAGAAAGTGAATGGGCAGGGAATAAAACAGTGAACCATTTCAGCAGAGTATAGTTTAGTGCAGCCAACAGCACTTTACATTTACTTTGTTTGCCCAAAACAATTGTTATGAATTTTCAATATATATAACACTATGTACACGTGAAAGCTAACATCACGCAGTGTGAGAGCAGGGCATTACAGAACATCTTCCAGACTAAAAACTTTTAGGATGGTGTTTGAAAGCAAAGCATGAATGAATTTGTTGAACTAAAATGTGAACTTATTTTGGATAGTTGATTACTTCAGTGCATCATATTTTACAACCCCATTTCCAAAAAAGTTGGGAAACTGTGCAAAATGTAAATAAAAACACAATGCAATGATATGCAAATCACATAAACCATATTTTTCAAGAAAACCAGTACAAAGACAACATATTAAATGTTGAAACTGAGAAATTTTAATTTTTTTTTTTAAAATATACGCCCATTTTGAATTTGATGGCAGCAACACGTTCCAAAAAAGTTGGGACAGGGGCATGTTTACCACTGTGTTTCATCACCTCTTCTTTTAACAGCACTGTATACGTTTGGAAACTGAGGAGACCAATTGCTGTAGTTTTGAGATTTCTCCAGATTCTCTGAATCTTTTAATGTTATTATGTACCGTAGATGATGAAAAGCAAAGGTTCTTTGCTGTTTTATGCTGAGAATGTTATTCTTGAATTGTTGCACTATTTGCTCATGCAGTCTTTCACAGAGTGGTGAATCCCTCCCCATCTTTACTTCTGAAAGACTCAGCTTCTCTATGCTCTTTTTACACGTTACTGACCTGTTGCTAATTAACCACCAGCTGCTTTTGTTAGCATTACACAACCTTACCAGCCTTTTGTTGTCCCCGTCCCAAATTTTTGTTGGCATCGAATTCAAAATGGGCAAATATTTTTCAAAAAACAATAAAATTTCAGTTTCAGTCTCATGTTGTCTTTGTAATATTTTTAATGAAATATAGGGTTTAAATGATTTGCACTTCACTGCATTTTGTTTTTTTATTGACATTTGGCACAAAATCCCACAGCATTTTGAAAATGTGGTTGTAAATCCATGATAACTATGTGCATTATTGTACCAACCTGGTAATTTAACTGGCACTATCAGTAGAAATGTCATGGTTTATTTGGCTCTGTGGGTGACAAGCCAGTTCAAGACAGTTTCAGACAGAATTTTCTGGAACTGCATGCTTTCAGTTTTGGGTCTGAAACTTTTTTGCCAGGTTCACGTCGGGATTAAAGCTCTAACGCAGCAGTATTAAAAGGGTCCATATCCCACATTTTTTTTTTTCCCCTGAAGCTCACTTTTTTGTTTTATGTACCAAAAACATTTGATTTTCAACCTCTCTTAACCCATTTTGAATCAACAGGCTGCTTTTGTGACTCATCTCCAAGACTGATTTACATGAATGATCTCTGTTCTGACTGACTGCCCTGTGCTTCGTTCAAAAAGCAGTTTGGCCTTATAACATCAGCAAGAATGGACAGAGCTAAACTGCTTTAGGATGCATAGGCGGATATAAGTTAGGATTCAAAACAGGTTGTTTTGCAGCTTAGTTTCTACATATGTATTTGTATTACTTTAACAATATTTACATACTCTATCAAACCCTTGTTTCAAAAACATTCCATGACAGACCCTTTAAATACTGTACAGAGCTATTCTATCAGAATGTTCTGCTCCACGAACACAACTCTCAAACACAAACAAAACGTAAAACATCATTGGCTGATACATGTAGTCTGTATTATGATGAGGTAATCTGGCCACCAATTAATGCATTCTACAGTCCAACACTCAAAAGTAATGTCCAACTAAAAGTTTGTAGGTTGCACAAGTGAGCAAATTATTTGGCCACATTTACATCTGACTTTCCCATGGCAGCTAATTGGCTAATCCTCAGACAGCAGTGTCTCACTTTCCCCTGGCGCCATATCAAGGCCCTAGTGTATTCCGGACAGGGCGACCCACTTAGCAGGCTAGCCAGCTCTGAGCATCCCGCTGGGGTCTGAGGGCCAAGGCAGGCTTCCTGCTGAGCTTTGGCCTTCGTGGGGTCTGATGAAGTCTGACAGAGGGCCAGGGGGACATGCAGGAGGTCACCCTTAAACTCAAACTTCCATGCCAAGTTACTCACACCCACGAGCAGCTTCTACTATGCCAGTGTTATTCCGAAAGACTTACATGGCAGCCGTTTTGGGTGACGGATCGTTCTCTTGAAGGAGCCGGTAGTGCTCTGCACAGGCACAGATGAGTCTTAGGGTTCGCACTACAGTGAAGAACAAAAAGATTTCAGGCTGGTGAGCTAGACAGAAGACATTACTCAGAACATCAGAACTAAATTATCTTCCCCAATTCCTTCAAAACATAAGGCCTCACCCTGTGAAACTAGTACCATAACGCTGCCGAAGTCCAAACTAAAAACACATTCAAAAAACAACAAAGAAAGTATCAAAAGGTAGTTCTTAAGGCATTTCATTACTTGTGCTAGAAAATCTCACCTATGCATTCCAATTTCCTCTGTGGCCAGTAGTCTCTACACAGCAGTTTCAACTCCTGCACTGCTGACTCGTAAGGGTAGGAACCATGCAGGACAGCTGAGTTTTTGGGGTACAGTTTGGATGCTACACCCATATCACCAGGTGAGGCATTACGGTAAAGTTGAACACTGTTTTCAAAAGCTAGCTCTCGCTCCCGGTGCACCCTCCTGAAGTACCCAAGTATAGAGACAGAGATGGGGGAAATATATTTAACATACATGGAAATAAATTTAAGTTTACACCAGAACACTATTGTTTAATTCAATGCAGTGTTAGATATACTGTCAGAGAAACAGACTTTGGTAGTTAGCTGTAAGATTAAGGTTCAGCTGTAAGCTGTAAGAGTATGATCCACTTTCAAAACAGAGGATCCCATGTGCTTCTAGCTTAAAGGCGCCATCTATTGTTTAAACTCAGGAAATACATAGCGGATCTAGAGATTCTCTGATTATAAACCATCAAATTTAGGGACTTTTCAAAGATGTTCTGAAACTAATACTTAAAACTTTATAATAACTTTCTGGTTTTAGCTGCTTCTCAAACTGGTTTTTCTTTCAAGCATACTTTTGTAAACCCTGTGCTCTGATTTATACTCCTAAAAATCCTGTAGGCTTAACACACATACGTATAGTAACTAACATGAGGACAGTTCAATTCAATTCATAATTCATTGGTGACTCTGTTGGCTCCATACAGCAATGCAAATTTATACTTATTTAAAATAACTTTTTCATTCTTTTGAAAGAAAGAGTGAGATGGTTGAAAATTTAGGCAGACAATCGCTGGAATCCAAATGCCATAATGTGCTTGCTCGTGCCTGAAGCACATCTTATTTGCATTTAGTGTTTTCCCAGTGGGTGACTCAGCTCACAAGTGGCTTGACAACTAGCCTCAACAGATTGTAGTGCAAGGGTACATGAATACTTAACTCATACAGTAATAGGTGCAGCAGCTGCAAGTATTAATCAGTTGAACCTCATATTTTGTGTATCGTTTTCATTGGGCGACCTGTTTTAAGGCGCTACAGTAGTGGAACAGAATGTTAGAATAAGTATCGAAACTAACTACCAGTTCTAGCTCAGTATGCAGGCTATGCAATGCATGTGTGCCAATTTTAAGAGACTAATATTTTATGATTCTGAAGCAGTGCCACCTATTCACTCACAACGATAACTGTATGCAGTAATATTGACCCACTATTTTATCAGTCTGTTACAAAAATATAGTACCTAAATAGTGCCAGTAGAGGGCTCCAAATCGGAGTGAAAAACACCTCCTCTATGCATGCTACACAGTGGTCTTTGGCGCTTGCGGTGTTGAGACATTCAAAAGAGAGCAGGCACAGGGACAGCAGACGATCTGAAATATAGATAGACTAAAATAAATTCACACATTCAGAAACCGGAGCCATTTAACATTTATACCAGCTCATAAACTAGAGGATACACTGATACATTCTGTCCACACTAAGGTGATCTCCTGAAAATGAAAATGTTTTGTGTGGATGTAGTAATCACAACTAAAGATGAAAAATTATTACAAAATGCACACCGAGTCTTAAAAGTGCTAAGTGGTAGAAAATATGATTGTGTTATCATTATGTATTGTGTCACAATATGCATTTGAGCACATTCAGGTATCAAAAGTATTTCTACAACACTGACAAATAGTGTGATACATAAAAATCTTGCACCTGTAAACAATTACGTCAAGTTAAAACTGCATTAAATAAGTAGCTCATAGGATATTGGCCAGTTATGCTACTCTCCTATTTATTTATTTTTTTTTAACCAACTAAGATTTTTCCTCCTGTTTATTATTACACCAAATTTTAATTTAAATTTTAACTAATTTGGTCAGTAACACTGCTGTTTTGCTAGTGTACTGCTTCTTCTTGGCAAACCTTAGAAAAAATAAATACTATATGTTTTTGTATCATAGAGATGTCTTCAAGTACCATTACGTTAATTTTTTTTTTAATCGCACATCACTCACCCTTAAGAGTTCTCACTCACCAATGGCATTGTGAATGTCTTTTATTATGGCTTTCAGATGTTCCTTCAAAGCTCGCTCCTCCAGGTCCTGAATGTGAACTTCCAAGTCCCCATGGGTTGAGTCACAGGTCACGTCAGAGGCTGTGTCATCAGCACTGTGAGATGGAATCCAGTCCAACTGATTTAGAAACTGCTCCAGATCCTCAAAGGAGTTCTCTCGGTCTGGAGGGGCTGGAGTCATGGGTTCTTCTGAATCCAGCTCAGGTCCTGTGTCTGTGGCATTGAGGTCGTGAACCAGTGAGAGTGAGATGGATGCATCCGACAGGCTGTGGACCAGGCCAGATTTGAGCTGACCTTTGGGGCTGTCAGTGAGGAGCAGGCTCTGGGCACTGCGGGACGGTTTTAAAGACACAGAGCAACCAGGCAGTGGGCTGGAGGGGACAATCTGACTCACCATAGGATACAGCTTGTTATATACTTGATACTGGAGCTTTTTCAATAGTTTCATTACTGGATGCTCTGGGCAGCTGGGAAAAGGAACAAAATTAATCAAATGACACATGGCATTACTGACCTGTGTTCTTACTAAGCAAACACAGCAATTAATGCAAACTTATTTTGTACCTCAAAAGGCAGGTGACAAGGCCTGAAACTAAAGTTGCATCATTCGGTTTCTTTTTCAGGTTAGCTTTCCAAACCTTAGGCCAATCCTGGAAATTAAAACATCAAAATATTTCAGACCTGTCACTAAATGCCATTATTAAGCATACCAAGCATATTTCAGAGCTGTAAACTAAACCAGTGATTCCCAACACCCTGTCCTGCACATTTTAGTGTTTGCCCTGCTCCCAACACACCTGATCAAACTAATCCACTATTGAACAGGCCTTTCCAAGCTGAAGTGGGTGTGTTTTGGCAGGAAAAGACAAAACTGTGCAGGGCTGGGGGTCCTGCAGGACGAGGGGTGGGAACCACTGAACTACACAACACATATATACATATATATACACACACACACACACACTCACATTATCTTGCTCATATTCCAGGATATTTGCATACAGAACCCGCTGCTCCTGTTCCTCAGGTGTCATCGTTCCTGAAGATGAAAACCTCCTGTAAACAAGAACATACAAATCCCATGAGGGCTTGTCCAAATTGCAAGGACTGATCAGGATGCTCACAGCACACACAATTAATAGTTTATTGATTTGGTTAAGGGGTTTGCTTACATACTGCAAGCCTTGGCAATATCAGTATTGCAAAGGCCAAAGTTACAAAAATAAACAATAATAAAAATAATAAATGATTTATTGTGCAGACCTAAAGACTTTCACCCCTGAATATAGAGTACAACTACTATAATCTGGAGAGAAGTGAAATCTAACCACTCTAACAACTTTTTTTTTAAACATCAATACAGGACACCACATATCGGACTCCACAGTGAAGAGGCTCACCTGTTAGCTTGTTCCTGCAGTCTGAGTCTCCTCTCTTCCATCTTTCTCTGGAGCTACAAGCACTCAGGAAAAGCTTAACAACTGACAGATGCATTTACACATTTCAGACAAAATATCTTCTCTTGGATAGTCATGTTCATCTGATGGCATAACAGCGTTCTGTATTCTAAGGTCAGGAAGTCGTTGATGTCCTTCTTCGATCACTTCAGTGTTTACACTGATTTAACCAGGAAGAAAAGCAGTACTGACCTATTGAGTAAAGGGTCAAGCACATGACTGTGCTCTTGAAGGTGGGGGCACAGTTGAGAGCTTTGGAAGCACATTGATGAACCACAGGCTTTCCACCAGGTATTCAGTAACTACTTTATGTTATGCATATCCTTGCAGTCAGGACAAAAGCTTGTATCTCAAGTTTTGCCGTTTTTCTTTTTTGTGACATATTTTTAAAATCTCCAGCAACCATTTGAAAAATGGTCCAAAATTACTTGGAATAAATAATGTCTCCCTTAACTTCCATTAAAAGTTTCTTTCCCCTGTAAAGTGAATTTTTTGGAGAAAAGAGGTGTTGTTCCGACAGCGACGATATGTATGTAAAATATATACAAGTAATATAAAGACGTATTACATGCAGACAAGAAATTAAATGTCTGTTAAAACCAACAGGCTCACTGAACCTAAGCCAAAGCTTTGGGACATAATTTGTTAAAGTAAGCAAGTAATAAATAAATTCATTTATCTACTTTAAGACTATAGATTTTGACTTAGTTATAATTTGAGTTTGTCTGCATGGCGATGCCCTAGAAACACTTCAACATTTAAAAATGAAACTTAAAGGATACAGCATCCTGTCTGGCTCTTGCTATGATGAGGTTCTCCATCATCTGTCTCTGGAGAGAGAGGGTCTAAATCGTGTGGAAAAGCAAAGCTAAATTAGAAGCTTAAACAAGACAAGAGGTGGTAGATGTGACAGTTTTCAGGCCCTTATGAGAGGAACTTTTCACCCTCCAAAGTGTGCGTTAGTGAGACGGACCAGCTGCTCCTGTGACTGACTGTTTCAAACGCTAATGTTGCCTGCATGAGGGTGGACGTATGCTAACGAAAGCAGCCAAAAGGAGTTCAGCAAAAAGGTAGAGGATTAGCCCAGTTCCCTCGCCTAACACACACACACACGACACAGTGTTATTCAAGTTTTAAAAAATACCTTCAGAAACGTTTTCATTTTTTCCCAATATGTACGCAGGTCCCGCGGAGCCTCGCTGCGTCTCCGGAGCATTCTTGAAAACTACAGACGCGTTTTAAGGTAAAACGTTTTTGTCTAAGCTGAACTGCAAGTGCGACTCTCAACTGTTTCTACAAAGTAAAGTTAAGCGACAGAACTTACCATTGTCAGCTCAGCTCACTAGTTTCGTTAAAACTACCCTGGTGTAAATAAACGTTCCCCTCACCACGGAGCTTCCTCCACAGTCCTGCAGCCTTGAGTGTGACTCCCAATCGATAGGAAGGAAACGGCGTCACCTGAGAGGGACTTTGGCTCTCTTACTATTATAAAAGCAAACAAGCCCCCACAGTCTCTGTCTCATCTACCGCGCTTTCTACCAAGGCAACATGTTAAGTGAGCAAATCCACATCCGCGACACGAAGGCTCTAATTATGCTGCCTACTAACGTACCGTAGTTTTGCATTGTATAGGTTCCATGTCATTAGATAGGTTCATTCTTTGCATTACGTTACTTATTTTAAGGCAGCAACCTTAATTGGTAAGGCACTCCCACAATGCCACGTGACAAAAAACAGCCCACAGGGCCATTTGGCTAATTCTTCTATTCATTTAATTAAGAGGGATCACTAAACTTGAAAAGGGCCTACTTGGGATGCAGATTTTAGAAGATTTCGCTTGTGGAATTAAACTAAATTCACTGCAAAATGGATGTGGCGACTAAGACAATAATGGTGCATTTTAAACAAACAAATAAATACTCATAACAACAAATGGCATACTTGATAGATTTTTTTGTTCCTTTTGAAGTATGTGAAGTCCCCTCTCATTATTGTTGTTTATGCACTTGCAGGCATTCAACCTTTAAGGCCTGACAAGGCAATGTTGAGCACTTCAGTAAATGTCACTTAACAGTCCAAAGCTGGTGAAGCTAGAGTTCATAGGTCCAGAGATTCAGATTGGACATTACAAAAATTCCATGCAAGACATTAGACAGAGGAAATGAGTCAAGATGAAGTCATCCTTAAATGTCAGGTAATGTAAATGTAAGCTGGTGTTTCGGGTAGCTACCTAGCAAAATGCTAAACTAAATGCTTTTCCATATCTGTTAAAACGCTTCTTATGTAAGGCAGCTTGTGACTCTAGACTGTGGCCATTTGATCATGCCGTAAACAGTCCTTAGTTCACTTAATGCAAAATTTGTTTATTTTATTACTTACGGTTGCAAGAGATTGTCCTCACGCACCAGTGGACGGGAAAAAATAATATTAATCAAGAATATCATATTTCACCACCCCCCTGCCTATCATTGAGTTCAGCTAGTTTGGAGACCTAGCCTGATATCATGTTTCACTTAAAATATTTCATTGTACAGAAGGAAAATGCATTAATTTAAAAATTATAATATGTCCTCCCAGTTTTCCATTCTCAGGAAGGTGGTATTTAATAACATCATGGAGTCACCACCTGCAGGCCTTGATAGACAAAGACCATCAAAGGCTCTGGTCCCTGCACACGCAACATTTATAACACACCACATCTTTACATGTGTGCAGAACCTGAGCCATCAGTTCTTTGCTGGTTAGAGAACCCCAAAAATGATGCAATCATCTGCAAGTTCCTGTTGGTAGCGAACTTGCAAATGTGCAGAACCTTATTTTCATTTTTATTACCCATTATGTAACCACATTGACAAAACCTGCCTCCATTATACACTATATGGACAAATGCTTTGGGACACCTACACATTACACCTACCGGAGCTTTTATGACATTAATTCTAAATTCATAGGCATCAACATGGAGTTGGTCCCCCCTTTGCAGTTATAAGATCTTCCACTCTTGTGGGAAGGCTTTTTCTAGATTTTGGGGTGTCTGTGGGAATTTCTACCCATTCATCCAGAAGAGCATTTGTGAGGTCAGACACTGATGTAGGACAAGAGGAACTGGCTCACAATCTCCATTCTAGTTCATCCCAAAGGTGTTTGATGGGGTTGAGGTCAGGGCTCTTCCACACCAAACTCACCCAGCCATGGCTTTATGGACCTTGCTTTGTGCACTGAGGCATAGTCATGCTGGAACAGGCCTTTCCCAAACCGTTTCCACAAAGTTGGAAGCATACAATTGTCCAAAATGTCTTGGTATGCTGAAACATGAAGATTTCCCTTCATTAGAACTAAGGGGCCTAGACCAACTCCTGAAAAACAACCCCATAGCATTATCCCTCCTCCACCAAGGTTTACAGCTGGCAAAGCGACAGGCAGGTAATGTTCTCCTGGCATTTGCCAAACCTAGATTTGCATGGCCGATCTAGCAGGTCAGAAATTTCACAAACTGACTTGTGGCAGAGGTGGCATCCTATGACAGTGCCATGTTTAAAGTAACTGAGCTCTTCAGTACAACCCATTCCACTGCCAGTATCCACCAAGACTGCAAGCCTATGTGCTTAATTTTATCCACCTGTTAGCAATGGGTGTGGCTGAAACACCTGAACTCAATAATTAGGAGGGGTGTCCCAATACTTTTGTCCATGTAGTGTACTTCCTAACAGACCCCAGACTGCTGATGCAGGTGATGTCTCTGTACTCATTCTTCTGGATTTAACTGCATTTGATACTATAGACCACAGAATATCGACTTGAAAATTTTGTTGGTCTTTCTGGAACTGTGTTAAACTGGTTCTTTACATATTTATATGATAAATATAACAAAGTATTTTGTAAGTGTAGGTGAACATATTTCAGATATGCATGATATTCTCTGTGGTGTACCACCAGGCTCTGTACTTGGTCCACTTTTATTTTCTTTTTATTAAGATTATCAAGAAGCATGATATCAGTTTTCCTTCTGTCATTGTTTTTACTGGAATATTACTATTACTTTCTTGTTAGTCATTGTATTTTTATTTATTTTATCTTGTGTATTTTATTTTATTGCGTTTATTATTATTATTATTATTTTTTATTTTTTTTCAGTACCCAACGTAACAGTTATATTGTTTGGCACAGGAACATCAATAATTTGAAAGGAATGACTAAAATTGGGTCTCATTCACCAACAGTTCTAAGAAATTTCTTCTTAAAACCCACTTACACAGTTTTCGCAAAGATTCTGACATTCACCAGTGCTTTCTTATTTGGGATTTGTTCTTACGTACGAACAGAACACAGACTCAAGAGCACAAAGTTGCAAACAATTCTATAGTTTAAGACTAGAATTTTTTTCTTAGGACCTTTCTCAAGAACTAATTTAAGAAAAAACTTAGGAAGATATTGGTGAATGAGGCCATGAATGTCAGATATTCCAGTACCACCCATGGCAGCACTCAGTACAGTGTATTCAGCCACGTTGGGGTGGTTCGTGTTCAGAAGACTTGTCACTCCAAATCAGCTGACCAAAAGAGAATGCAAGTGAATGCCCTTTTCTAAGACCCGCCCTATGACAATGTACGAAAAGTCAGAAGCAAAAAAAATGCCTCCAGAAAGGAGAAAAAATATATCAGCAAAATCAGCACACAGAAAGCAAAAACTGGCAAAATAAATAATATTTTTTATCAAAATAACTGAAAATGAGTAGTAATCTTTTTGCAATATTAAGTTTGATGTAACTGTCATTATTTTTATTTGCAACATAATTTGGACATGTTGATACCATTTTGCTTGTGGATTGTATTACTTCATTTAAAACTTTTGGCATAAAATTACCCTCCCCTTTTCTACTTTGAGAAGTGTCAATATGGCATTTCATATTTACAAGAGAATGTAAAAACCTTGTAATGTCTTTAAAACGTCGCAGAGACTTATTAAACACAAAAAAGGAGATAAAGTCTGCTGTGCATAAACCTTTTGAGGGTGTGAAATTGAGGCTGCGTTAACAAAAAATTCAATAGAATACCATTGCAAGTATGAATGTCAGCACATTTGAACACCTCCAAGTGAGATCAAAAATGACAAAGGAGTGAAAAAAAACTCTTAATTTCAAATCTTAAATAGTTTTAAAATATTTACTTGAGAGGATGTACTTACTAGTGAGGTTTTTTGCGTGGCCTGACTGGGGGCAAGCCTTGCCAGACGTGCCTCATAATTTGCCTTTAGTTTCTGGTTCAGACGTGAAGCCTCCTCAATAGGCGTTAACTCCCTGTAACACACAGTCACCTTTGTTGGAATATCTTGCATTTATAAGTATAATGACAGGAAATAAACCTAGCAGATTAAATCCTTATTTGAAAATTTAATGCAATTTTTTTATATTTGTTGTATTTGATTGTAATGCCAACTGAGTAGATCTCTTGTTGCAAGATAGCACCAATAGTTTGAGAAAGAAAAGGGTAGCATGTTTTCTCCTGTGTGTATAAGAGCTACTTTTTCTGGGCACACAGCATTGCCATTGTGAAGCAGCCTTCAAGAATGCCAGGTACTCAACCACTGTGTAAGGACCCTGTCACTCTTCTCTTCCAATGAAACTTAACTTGTTAAAAAAAGTGGAGTGTCACTCTGAAAGTAGGGCCAAACTTGAATGATATTTGCATCAGAGAACATTATGTACTGACAAATTCTTTACATGCATGCTTCAAGCTGATAGTGACCAATCAATTTGTTGGGTCAGTGGCCAGAGGAAATATCTTAAGCAATCAAAAACTGCAATATTACATAATATAAAATAAAAACAGCAAAATAACAAAGAAGAGCTCCGGTCAATAGCAGAATATGTCCATATCTCTGCACGCAGATATATGAATCTTCACTTCTTTCTATCTATGGCTTAAGCAAATATGTTAAGAGATAACACACCACTCAATACATGGACCTTGTTCGACACCTAAGGTGTTCTGAACAGTTCTTGGAAAGATTATGAAGGGGCCAAAATAAACAAACTAAAGATGCTGAAATATAATGACTTGAAAGGGACATCCTGGCCTGGTTTTTCAAGCCTTTGAAAGTAAATAAAGGAATGACATGAAACATACATGAAATACATGTAACATTATTATAGAACAGTAAAGAATTAAGAATTAAGAAGAATTAAAAATAAAATTTTTATGTGAAATGGTTTTGGTTTAGCTCACGGTTTTTAAATCAAATTCTCAGGTTATCCATCACCCATCTCCATATTTCTGTTAGGATTAAGTTGAAAGGTGTGACTAATGTTCACATTTTGCACTATATCTTCAAATATATTTCTCTGAGCATTTCACTGCATTCTCCTCAAGTGTTTTTTATTCTTTGCTTTCATAGCTATTTCGCATTTTCATTTTTTTGCCGCTGTTGTCTCTCCTCACATAAATCACAGGGGCACAGGGTAAAAGCTGCCTTTGGTGTCATCCAGTCCTAGATTCATACCGCAGAGAGGGTGCTGAATTTACACAGGCTAATCCACTCTATGAAATCTGCTGACTGACAAATGGGAGGAAGAGGAGCTACCAATTTATCTTCCTAAACCACTACAAAAAACAGACTTGATTTTGGCATTTAACGATTGTCAGTGCATTCCTATGTTAATAAGTTTTCATAAATGTAATGATGTTGGCTCAGGTAACTGCGCCAAAACCCTACTGGCCCACCATGAATTCTTCCAATGCGCCTCCAGCACTGGTTGTAAGACAATATGAGTGGCATCTTTGTATCAGAGCATTTAACGTGAGCACGAGCATTTGTGATGATTGGAACGAAACTAGACAGAGCCAAAGTAGCTCTCTGTGGAACCTGGGAAGGTGAGTTTAACATTATAATGACTGCTGAATACACTATCTAAGCACTAGAGATGAAGAAAATGCATCTACAAATACTTCAGTGTGCACTCTCCATTTTACAAGTAATGAATTGCAGGAAGAAAACAGTTCACCAACCACCAACTCAATCATGTTCTATAATCTTTGAATGAAGCTGGAAACACAGTGTCCTTTGGTTTTGTTAGGATAAAAGGTAATCAAATTTATGATGCAATGGCGTTACAAAACAGCCAACAGGCAACCACGTCTAATGTTTGTTTTTCCCCCTATGCTAAACACACTAGAACTTCCCATTCTCAATACAATTTCTTTTCAAACCAATGTTCTGCGTGTGATTTACATAACAAAGATTGTAGAATTCATCCAGATGACTGATAGCTCTTGATGTGTGACATTACTTTGGAGAAAAAAAATTGCCTAAATAGCTGTTTCAAGTATGTTTGAAACTCATGGATGATATTCAACAGTACAACACTAGAAGATTCCAGACATTATGAAATAAGAAAGTCTGCTCTACATAATTGATCTCCTCTTGAAAGTTGCATAATTACCAATGTTTTGACACAAGAGAAGAAAACGCGGTATTTAAGGGTACTAGATCAATGAACCTTGCAAGACCAATAACAATTTTGTTTACAAATAATCCAGAGCTAATATATATATATATATATCATATTCAGATCAAATATATAATTATAAGATGATCATTTTAGTTCTAATTTCTATGTGAACAGAAGATAAAAAAGCATGTTTATATCTTTTTAAATCTGGTTATAGTAAAATATAGCTTGTTTTTTTATTAATTTAATTTGACTGTAGCCTGAATTATTGTACATCCCTGTATTGTATTATTTAGCATCATTGTAGGGCCCCTGCAAGAGTTTCTTAACTAGTTTTTGTTTAAAGTAGGTGGTCAACAGTCCACTTTAGGGGACTCTGCACTATAAACATTGTGTAGCGTAACTGTTATGAAACAAGGAGTGACTAACTTTTTGCTGTCTTGAGAATCCACTGTTTGCAGCTTCTGGAAGACCTCAGGGGGCAAGAAAGGGCATCCTGCCCCTTCACCTTCTGAGAGCACCCTGCGATGTCTGGAGAGCTGGACGATAGAGCTTGATTTACTTTGGGTCTTTGACTCCATCGCTGTTTCATTTGATATCACTATGAAAAGGCGTAAAATACACTTTATTTTTGCTATGTAGTGTTAAACAGTATCTGGAATATGGAGATAAAGACTCACCTGACTTTGTGGGACTGACTACAACATTCGAAACATGAGCAGTGGTCTGTGTGAGTGGGGTTCCATGAAACATTGCGGCTGATGAGTCAGGATCAGACGCGTCATTCCGTTTCCCTATGCAGGATTTCACTCTCTCTAAACATTGCTCAGCAAGCTTCACCATCTTCTCCACTTCCAAGTCCTCCATCTCTCCCTCAGCTGCAAAAACAAACACAGAATTCAGGGAAGAAAGCTTTTACATTCGCATGAACAAGTTTAAACACTGCTGTGGAATTTAAGAAATAACTATAAGATCTGTTAAGTAGGTAAATCACATTGTATTTGTTTTTCTTACCTTTACATGCTGCATCCTGAAGTAGGGCATGTGAGATGTAGTTGATACTTTTTAAGTATTCACAGTAAGCCTCCTAGTAGAGTATCAAGAACAAGGACGCAACAGATCATTTTCTTGTTCTGACTTGGACTATGCTGACTACTAAACACCTTACTGTTGCCATTTGCAGAAAGCCTACGGGGCAGCACTTTTATTCCCAGAAAGCCTTGACAGTTTGGTTCAACATCATGTAATAAATTAGTCTGGCTTTGTGAAAGTTAACTGTAAACGAAATTTAAAAGGTGATACAAGTTGTATTTGTATGTCATCTTTTGAACGTAGTTGCTTGCAAAGCCATTGTAGAAACTAGCAGAGAACTAAACTGTTGTGACAAATCTTGCTGAAAAAAACCCAAACTGGTCAGCCCAAACTGGTTAAGCTGGTTCATCAGCTTAGTTTTCAAGCTCTGTATCCAGTTGGACAAGGCGAAAATAAACCCTGTGCCGGTGTTACGGTAAATTCAGTTCCCCCTGTTCCCCCCTCATTGCGCATGTTGAAATCATGACGTCTTCAGTCGACGCTCCTCTGCGGGGCTTAGATAGGCTTAATTCGTTTGTTTCTGTACCGTTATTTCGTCCTATTCCTCGCGGTAAGCGAATTATCACGTTGTTTGTAAAATGACTTGCAGTTAACACGTTTTAAAGTATAAAATGTGTTGTTAGCAGATGTTTTAATGCTCAAACACTATGTGGGCTATCTTGCTAATGCTAGCTTTGGCTCCGTTTTCAACTACTCCGAGTAACAGAAGTTAGATTCATTGCGCCATTTCTGATTTAATTACCGTACATGCAGACACATTTTGTTGTTCAGACTTAAGTGATTTTTAAGGTGTATTTATGTCCCATATCCTCATCAGTCTCGCTAAGTTCTGTAAATAGATTTGAAACATTTGTTGCTGAAATAAATAAACTGCATTAAGTTACACAGCACAGTAATTAGTCTGTGTTAATGTTGTTAGACTACGTATCTCAGTGCACCTAGGAAGTTGGTTTCCCTGTAGTCTTTGAGACTGAAGTCTTACTGTTATGGTACTAATGTGACTTTACAGTAACTTTTATTCATATTTTATGATCTTTAGAACTGAGAATACAGGGGGAACAACTTTAACCAGAGCCTGGTTACCCCTTCTATATTGCAGCTGGAGTGGATTTAATGTACAACATTGATGCTGATAATCTATTTCTGTGTATGATCATTTCACTTAGTAACTTTTATTCATATTTTATAATCTTTAGAACTGAGAATACAGGGGGAAACGTCTTTAACCAGAGCCTGAGAAAAGTGGTTTCTCCTTGTATATTACAGGTGGAGTGGATTTAAAGCACAGCAGTGATGCTGCTAATCTATATCTGTGCATGATCATTTCACTCAGTAGCTTTTATTCATATTATACAAATTTACACAACACCACAATTATTATAGTACTTTTATAACCTGTTGTAATATAAGGAAATGATAGGATTATCATAGTACCTTTATGCCCTGTTGTAGTGTAGGGAAAGGAAACCATTTACCAGGAACACTGATCAAATCCCAGTTGTTTACTTCCATTAAACATGGTAACATAGTAACAGATAACATAGCTGTATCAAGAAACATTACAGTGTAGTACACCTGCATGTACTAATCACTCAATTTGAGAAAAATGGTAAAACATATCTTTTTTTTCATTTAATTATTTAACTACAGTTTAAAATTTCTGACCCATTGTAGTTACTGGGAGAACAAAAAAAGCAAAGAAAGCATTATCCATCCATCCATCATCTAAACCGCTTATCCTCGCGGTGGGGTGCTGGAGCCTATCCCAGCTGTCATTGGGCAGAAGGCAGGATACACCCTGGACAGGTCGCCAGTCCATCGCAGGGCAGACAGACATACACACACATTCACACACTCACTCACACCTAGGGGCAATTCAGCATGTCCAATTGGCCTGACTGCATGTTTTTGGACTGTGGGAGGAAACCGGAGTACCCGGAGGAAACCCACGCAGACACGGGGAGAACAGGCAAACTCCACACAGAAATGACCCTGGTCACGCAGCCGTGAATCGAACCCAGGCCATTCTTGCTGTGAGGCGACAGCGCTACCCACTGCGCCACCGTGCCGCCAAGAAAGCATTATAGTATATTAAATTGATCCTAATTGCCAGTTTTTATTGGAACTTACTTTTTTTTAGGGGCACTGGGTAAATCTGTTCTACCGTTTAGTCTCTGTATGAGACAATGTTAATGGAAGAAGCAGTTGGAGTAAAATAAAAATAAAAACAAATTAATATAATAGTGCATTAAATCTTTAATAGCTGTAATCAACTAGTACACTGAGAATGCTGTTCCATCTGTATTCTCAGTGTAAAGTAGGTATAATATGAACAAAATTTACTGAGTGAAATGATCAGGCACAGAGATAGATTATCAGCATTATTGCTGTACTGTAAATCCACTCCAGCTGTAATATACAAGGGGAAAACCACTTTTCTCAGGCTCTGGTTAAAGATGTTCCCCTGTATTCTCAGTTCTAAAGATCATAAAATATGAATAAAAGTTACTGTAAAGTCACATTAGTACCATAACAGTAAGACTTCAGTCTCAAAGACTACAGGGAAACCAACTTCCTAGGTGCACTGAGATACGTAGTCTAACAACATTAACACAGACTAATTACTGTGCTGTGTAACTTAATGCAGTTTATTTATTTCAGCAACAAATGTTTCAAATCTATTTACAGAACTTAGCGAGACTGATGAGGATATGGGACATAAATACAGCGTAAAAGTGCCTGCATGTACGGTAATTAAATCAGAAATGGCGCAATAAATCTAACTAACTTCTGGAAAAACGGAGCCAAAGCTAGCATTAGCAAGATAGCCCACGTAGTGTTTGAACATTAAAACATCTGCTAACAACACATTTTATATTTTAAAACGTGTTACTACAAGTCCTTTTTCAAACAACGTGATAATTCCGTTAACCGCGAGGAACAGGACGAAATAACCGTACAAAAACAAACGAATTAAGCCTATCTAAGCCCCGCAGAGGAGCGTCGACTGAAGACGTCATGATTTCGACATGCGCAATGAGGGGGGAACAGGGGGAACTGAATTTACCGTAACACCTGTATATTTTCGACTATTCCAACTGGATACCCAGCTTGACAACCGCCTTGACTGTCAAAGACCCATTATACCATCTGAAACCAGCTATAAGCAAAGGCTGGTCTCGTCTCGGATGTTTTTTCAGCAGGAAATTGAATTCAGTTGACGGTATTTAGGCTACCGCTGATAACCGCCACATAATAACTGGAAAACACTAGGCCGGGGCAGTGCAAGATCCTCTAGCTGGACCCTGTAGCCCCAGCATGTTTAGCACAGGGAGGAGTGGCAAGATGGACTGTTAAATACATCTCATACGAGCTCATATTAGAGGAAAACTGACAGTTCTACCTTATGTCTGTTACCCGTATCCAACTGAATAGCCACGCTTACGAGTCGCATGGCATTCTGGAGAGGTCTCTGACCGCTATCAATGACAGAAGCCATCGCACGATAAATTTTAATCTGCTTGAATGAAGAAACACCCACACATCGACCAGAAAAACAAACCGGGAAGCAAGCAAATTTAAACGGAGCAAAGGCGGAAGTACCACATTTCAAAATAGTGGTCACTCCACTAGATTCAAAAGCCGCATATATAAACTCAAGAAAATTAACTAAAGGAACGGACAGCGTGTGTCTTCGTCACATATTTAACTCCACTGATTCTCGGTACCGTGACTATGATTTTAAGACATTCCCTAGAACATATTTATAGCTAGGCCAGTGGCCGTTGCCAGTCTGTGATGGCGGTTCAGGTGAGTTTGCACTTTCTCCTATAATTAATTAACACAGCCTGGACTAAAATATCTTTTTGACCATTTTGAAACATTTTGACCTTTGGGACCTCGCTGGCAGTTTTCCATTTTCATTTCGTATATAGCAACAATAATCTTTATATTCTAAATTAATAAAAACAATCTGGTTAAAAAGTGTAAGCTGCAGCAATCATCCTGAAAGAGTTCCTGAAAGGCTTCCAGAAAACAAAAGTCATAAAACCCACTGCTAAATATTATGAAATAACAAAGTATTACTAATTAATAATAATATTTATCAATTTATAATATTTATATTAAATAACTAATATATATTATATAATTTTTATTAATTCATTTATTGCATTAGTTAACTTTTGGTCTTTTTAGCGGAGAGCTACATGCAGGGTGTTGTAAGGCAAAATAGTCCCCATAGAAAATGTATTTTACAAGATTTACCACTGTTTTACTACTCCAAACATTAATTAAAAAAAAAAACTCAGATGATATGTGTAGGTTCACATATTTCTTAGGAGATTAGAAGTAAAACAACCACTTTCATAAGGAATGGGAAAGTCAAAGGAAAACAAGTGAAAAAGCTGTAGCGCCCTAGAGTTACTATTTAAAGATAAGAAAATAGACTCTTAACAAGGCCTGATGGACCACCAAAACTGGCACCATCAGAGGAACAGTACTTAAAGCTTTCTTCGTTGAGAGAGAGGTAGAGTTGTTTCTGTCCATCCTTCTACTGTGAGAAAACAGCTCAGTGCCATGAGTCCGAAAGGATGTGAGGTTGTCAAGAAGTTGTTGCAAATCAATCAATGAAGCTACTGATGTTCTTAGAACAATGGACTGGTCACCCCAGAGTCCAGACCTCAGCATCATTGAATGTGTTTGGGATTACTCGGGTCACCAGAAAACGCAACCAGCTTCTAAGACTAAACTTTTGAGATGTGGAAAAATATAACTGCCAATTTGTTTAAAAAACTGAAAGCAAGTCTCCTGTAAAGAATGGAAGCTGTAATAAATGCATGAAAGTGGACACATTACTCAAAAAAATGGTATTATATTTAGTTGATGAGGCTTGTGCTAGTTATATTGTTTTTTTGTTTTCTGAGGCTGAAAAATGGTTGTTTTGATTTGAAATTAAATCAATGAACTGGGGATTATTCCTTTATCCTTCTGGATCACGGTGGTGCTTAGTGCTATTTATTTACTTATTTATTTATTTTTACCGCAACAGTACACATGGAATATTCTCAAGCAAAGAATTTATGCAGCTCCAAAAACTAGTTTATTGCTACTCATCACATCTGTCATTATTAACAGTTTTCCTGGCAGGCCAGTCAGCGAGTCTTTGTGCTGTAGAAAGCAGAGTGGACAAATCTCTTCAGCTAATATAAAGATGAATTGATGAAATTATGCTGACTCGCTAACAGGACAAGATGAAGATTGAAGACAGGTTTTGATTTATGTAGACTAGTGACCTGAAAAAAAATAGGAGCAAATTAGACAGAGAGAGGGAGCTGCCATTAATCTTTCATCAGGAAGGAACTATGCTGTGATTTAACATCTTCTTAATCCAATGAGCCAATTCAGCCAGTTATTTGATGGAAGCTGGCGCTTTGGCCAGTGACCTCAGCAGTGTATATTTCAAAGACAACACAGAGAGGAAACTTTATTTGGAATCTGTTTAATACAAGAATATGACATTTTTTAGTGTGCTGAACTGGCACAGAACCTTGAACGTATTGGTTGTTAACAGACCCACACCACTAGATGGTGCTCATAGAAAAGACATATTATGTAGATTTGTCCATAGTTTGACCCAGCTTTGAAATAACTGCAGTGATGTAATGGAATTTGGTGGAATGCCTGTTAATCACCGTATAGATGTAAGTGTGTTTGAGTTCGTGTGTGTGTGTATGTGTTTATCTAGAAAAATTGTTAAAGTGTGTCTTGTAAAGTTGTGCTCCACGATAGCAGGGCTTTCAGTGTCTATTATGTGTTTTAAATTTAAAGGGAAATTCCACAGATTTTTCAAAATTCTAAGTAATTCAATGATTGAGATGTAAATGAAGTCAGAATGGCTTGGTGTGAGATGACACATTGTAGAGAAGCATGTATTGACCTAGAGACTTGGATTTTCTTTACAGTGGTCTACAATGCAGATATTACGGAGCCCTGCTGGTGATATTCCATAAATGAAAACTTTATTAACGATTGGAAACAATATCTTAATGTGTGGCAACGGCTTAGTAAGGCATGGGAATGAGATAAATCATGCCCATGACTTAGTAAGTCGTGGAAAGGAGATCATGCCTTACTAAGTCGTGGCCACGCATTAGGATCTCATTCCCACACCTTACTAAGTTGTGGCCATGCATTAGGATCTCATTCCCATGTTTCTTGAGTCTTCATATATTGTGGTGTTAGCAAAGTACAAGATGCAGGAAACAACTCAGTACTGCTGAAACAGGTCACTTCTAGCCATATACTTTCTCCCTGACAGTGGGCACTATACTAGCACCAACTACCCCTACAGCCCAGCACAGAATAGCACAAGTAACACGTGCACATTTTTAAGCTAACAACAACAGCTTGTGTATGATAAATGTCTGTCCTACTGTGAATGCAGCGCCTCCCAAGAGCCTCCTCACATGGCCGCTCTCTAGGCCATGCTTCCTGTGCGTTCCCTTGGCAACACGAGTCAGTAGTGGGAAGCCACAATATAATGTTAAGTGTAATGGTCAGATAGGTTGTTTTGGGGTATATTTTGCTATACATTATCCTGTATGTACTCTCTGCCATGAGTGGATAAAAATATATACATTTTAGACCAACATTTTTTTTGCAAAACTATCTAAAGAAGCCCATATAATGGAAAAACATTGTCTTTGGTTTCTTTTTGAAATGAAATAGTTTGATGTGATATACACACACAGTTCACACCCCGGTCCATAGAGTTCATACATATATGGAATATATATGTATAAAATATATACCTGCATTTTCAGTCTATAGCAATTTAGCCCAGCCCACTCACATTGCAGTTATAAGGAGTGATTCAGCTCAGACTGCTTTTTGAGTGAGGCACAATACAGGGCAGGCATTCAAGACAGAGATCTGTTACATATATCAGTCTTAAAGGCATTCTAAATTAATTCTAAATGAAAAAGAGAGAATAGAAAATGGTCATGTAAAAATAAATTGCAACTGGTTTTGATACATAAAATAACACAAATGTAGAGTCCGGGCCCTTTAAAACAATGTCTCAGGCCACATGCAGCTCATAACCATTTCATGTAATAACTTTGCATGAGGGGAATTTTTAGAAGCATTAAAATGCTTCAGATGTCTGGTTCTTGTCACCACTGCTGTGAAAAACTACTCTGACTGACTTTGATTACATGTGAACGATTTAATTATGCAGAAATTTTGAAAAGTCAGTGAAACTCCATTTAAAAAATTGAAATATGTGTCTGTGAGTGAATGGTTACATTGAATGCAAAGGGCAAATTCATTTTGTACTAAATATTATTCATTTAGATATTGATTCCTTGTACTGAAGTCTAAATCCAATGATTCAACACAGAGGCTGCATCAGAAAAAAAGGAAAAAGAAAGGGAGGAAAACAGAAATGGACATTTCTCTGAGGATGAAAGTCTGACTGGGGCTGATCAGACCATGGCGGTTGAAAGGAGAAGGAAAACTGAAAGAGAATAAGAGAGATAAAAGAATGCGGCAAGGTGTGGGAGTTGGGGTGGGGGAGTAGATGAAGGCTTCAGATGGTTTTGTTTTGATAGGATGACAGTGTTTGCATGTACCTTAAACTGTGCCGGTGTAATGTCATCCCCCTCAAAGCGATTTACAACAGCCTGCTTCTGCATTGAAATCTTCAGAGATATTCTTTTCATTCGTACTTGGTTGCGGAGCGTTGTGGGTCTGCTCTGGCTCTAACCAAATGAAGGTATCTGAAGATACTTCAACTATAATTTGATTAACATCTTAAAGAGGGACTAATTATTTTTGCAAGCACTGTTGTTTCCAGCATACGTCTAACTTTGGAACAAAAAGAACTAATAGAAAACAAAGTGAAAGGGAGGTCAGCCTGACTTTGAGAAGAACGTGCGCAGTGCCAATTCCTCTTTGTTCAGCCTGAAAGGCAGCATAAATGTTTGATAATTAGCTGAGCTCTGGCCGTCCGGACTTTTTCCTGTGCGTTGGACGGATAGACAGAATGGGAACAAACTCAAGACAGAGGCCCATTACAATACAATATAGTAAAAGCTGCTTAATTTCCCCATTTTTCATCTGGATGCCAATCATCTACGATGGCAGCAGCAGCGAAAGTGGGCCTGCCAGTCTGTAGATCTTTCCCATAGCTTAATCAGCAGGGAGGGCACACTCAGATTCCCACATTTGTACCCATTTTTATCTCAGCCTACTTCTTTCCCTTTTCTCTTATTAGGTATTAATGGGTTTTCAATGCAGTTCAATAACCTCACCCCTTCTCTGACTTGTCAAGCTCTACTGCCCATAACCAGAAGAATTAATTACAATTGATTAAACTCATCTCCACAGGAGCCCATCCCTCATCTAAAAATAATTCACCATTTCCTTTTGTTCTCTAATCAGAGGAGGAAGTTTTTAACATCCCATTGTAAAGGAAATTGTCTGACAAATGAGGATATTTTTTCATGGTACGGTGGCCAAGGAAGTCAGTGGGTGGGAGGGCTTCTCTTTTATGTCTCTCTATAAAACGTGGTCTGAGAACTTAAAAGCACGTTTGCCTGTGTTTTACATCATAC